TAAATAAGCCAGGTCATGTAAAACCTGCTTCTAATATATGTTTGTAAATCCGTACAAGGTCAAATTACTGAATATTAGTATTTATTTATTGCAATATTCAACAATTTTTAACCAGTTAAGCTACTGATTGAGCCTCACATATCCTCATAGATATCCAGATTGAGGAAATCCCCTACATATCAACACAATAAACCACGTTCTTTTAGTGTCTTTTTAGTATCTTAAAAAATTAATTTAATTTATATTAATTCTGTAAATTGGCTGAAAGACTTCTGTTGGTGACCTTTTGCTACATAGTACCATTAAAGAGACAAAGCGGAAAGTGCATAGGAAACTATGGTCTGGGAAATCGACACGAGACAGGAAACTGTCTGTTACAATTCTGTCAAGAGCAGAACTTGATTATTACAAACACATTTTTCAAGTTACTAAACAGACGACTGTATACATGGCGATCGCGCAGATACAACGGAGAAAGTAGTCAGAAACCAGATAGACTAGATTATGATTAATGAAATATACTGTAATGCTGTTAAAGCCGTGAAAGCATATCCTGGACCAGATGTGGCCTCAGATCACAATCCACTTATCGCCAATATTACACTCACCCTTAAAAATATTAAAAGACATAAAAGAATCTCTACAATAGACACAAGAAAACTTAAAGAACCTAAAAGTTTTTTTCATTCCAGACCATTCTTTTACCATTGCAGTTCTTTCATGAACTGCATGTGAACTGCAGCAAATTGAACACAAACACCAATGGATATTAACAAGTACTGGGATTGACTAAAACATTGTCTACTGGAACCCTGTAAAGAAATACTAAAGACTATCGCAAGGAGAAAAGAAGAATGGATGAATGACGAGATATTCAATATGATGGAAAAACGGAGACAATTTCAAAACAAAGACAACAATAAATACAGAGAGATAAACCACGAGATCAGGAAGATGATAAGATGGGCAAAAGAAAAATACTTTGAAGAGAAACGCAAGGAAATCGAAGACCTTCAAAATAAATATGATCTGTTTAACCTACACAAGAAAGTTAAAGAACTGGCAGGACTAAGAAAACAAAATCTCACTCGTGCAATTCTAGGTAGACACGGGACTACTAAAACACATACGGACGAGAAAGTACAAAGATGGGCAGAATATATCGATGAATTGTTCGATGATGAAAGAGGAGATCTGGATCACATAGAACTTACGTCAGAAGAAATAGGTCCATATATTACAAAATAAGAAATATTATACGCATTAAAAACAATAAAGAGTAGGAAAAGCCCTGGACCTACCTATAGAAATCCTAAAAACCACCAAGTGGTTAACATCGATTTTTATTTGTCTCCCCAAAAAGAAAAACGCAAGAGAATACAGCCATCACCGCACCATTAGCTTGATGTCTCATGTACTAAAGTTACTACTAAAAGTCATCCATAACCGAATATATCACAAACCGGACATAGATGTTAATGATACACAATTTGGTTTTCGCAAAGGCCTAGGAAGGCGTGAAGCTCTTTTTTCACTTAATTTACTGATACAATGATGCCTGGACGTCAATCAAGATATATACGCATGTTTTATTGACTCATATAATAATAGGATCATATAATAATAGCGTTTATTGTCCAACAGAATCCATTTATAGGACAAAATACAATACTAAAGTTAAATGAAATATTAATAATTCATAGATACTAACTAAATAACACATTTTTCGAGTATTTTACCTTAACATAAAGAAACTACTTAATCACCTAGGTAGATCTCAGCCATCCTACTAAGCTGCTTTAAACTGCGGTGAAATATATCGCAGTAAGCACTTAAGGAATTAATAATAGTTGCACATGAGAAATAGAGGAAATTTAACATAAGATTAGTTCTAGCTTGTGTATTTCTGAACGTAATCGAATTTCTCACTGGATAAGATGGAAGTTAAAATTTATTTGTCGAAGAATATCAGGGCAGTCAATGAGATTATGTAGTAGCTTGTACAGGAATATTAGGGGAGGCATTAATTCGTCTAGATTCTAATGATACTACGTCCAAACCGCTACAGAACTCGCTATTGCTGATGCCCCTCCTGGGATATATGCCGTTAATTTTGAAAGACAAAAATTTTAAAAATTTACGCTGCACGTGCTCTATAATTTGGATGTGTACATCATAAAAAGGTGACCAATGACAGAAGCATATTCCAGTTTACAGCGTACAAAAGTGTAATAAAGTAATTTAATTGCCTTAGTATTAGTGAGATTTCGACTATTTCTAATTATGAATCCATAAGATTTAAGTGCTTCTTTAACCTTTAAATTAACATGTTCAACAAAGGTGAGTTTATAATCAAATGTAACTCCAAGGTCTTTCATTTTATTCAAACGTTCAAGTTTATTGCCATCGATAATATAAGGATGGTATATATTAGACTGTTTCCTAGAATAACTAACTACTTTGCACTTATTGGCATTAAGATTCAAATGATTTGCATTATTACACCATTCATGTACACGATTCAGTTCACTCTGCAGAAAATGACAATCATTAAGGTCGCTTATCAATGAATAAATAGGATGCGTATTGTCGCCAATTCTTTTTAATGAATACTCCGAAGAGATCCTGAAAAGCGCTGAGGGTGAAACAGCTGGAATAAAAGTAAATGTAGTTTCCATTAACAACATTAGATATGCGAACGACACTGTGATCTTAGCCGAAAATATTGAAGATCTTCAGAGACTGGTGACCAGAATAGCGGAGTATGGAAAAGAGCACGGTCTGACAATGAACGTCAAGAGGACGAAATTTATGAGATTATCGAAAACTCGAATAAAGAAATAACGAAAATCTTCTAATAAACGGAACCAACGTCGAACAATACTACGTTGGACCAGAGAACTACGAACGCAGAGAAGCGACACTCCTTTGATCTTGCGTGGGCAAGCCGCCAACGAGTGAAAATGACAGGAAAGCACCTTATTTTTTAATAGTCAGTGGGCATATTACACAATATTAATTCTTAAATAAAATTGAGCATTTATGTTGACTTTCAATAAATATGAAATATTGCACTGAAAAAATAATTACATGCAGGGCCGGCTTTTGTTGACATTCTAAATGGTGTAATTATTTTTGATTTACAAAAGGTTGCAAATACATCGCACAACGCAAAGTAATGGTGAAAATCGTATTGATGGAACCATAGATGAAAATACTTTTTTGTTTATTCTGATGTTGACGTTGATAATACAATAATACACCGATTCTTTTTGGCTTGTGTTGATACAAGATATAATTTATTTTTTATTATATTATTTATTATTATATTATTGATTATATTATTTTTTTTTTGACAATAAGATTATCTTCACAATGTAGTTCACAAATCCTATAACTATTATAAAGTATATCCATTTTTAACAATAAATCTTCTCGTCTGCAAGCTTCTATCCACATTTTGGCACTACAAATTTTTAACAGAACAAATTTTAAACAAAGAATTTTTTGTATTATATAAATAATACTTCATTACTTACAACTATAAGAGTATTAGTATATTCTAAGTGTATTGTAAGTAATGAAGTATTTAACTTTTGTCAATATCTCATCTTAATAAATTTACAGTTTTCTCCTAATTAAGTCTCAAAATTGTCACTAAATATTGAGATATACAATAAATAAAGTTTTAATATTTTTTATTTGTAATTCCCATTTAAATATTTATTCCCTAAATATGTTGTGTACTCCGATCCATATATTTGATCTTTGTTATTTATATTTAACGAATTAAACATTGACAGACAACTTTTGTATATAGCAAAAAGTAGATGAGCATTTAGTTTTTTCATAATTTAATGTAAGTTTGTTTGGTGAAAAAGACAGCAAATATTTGAAGTTATGTTAATGTAAGTTTGTTTATTTGCAATTATGTTTTTATTTTGAAGTCTTGTTCTGTTATAATTTTAAGATTTTCCCAATTTCGATCTAATTATGTTTCCAACAATTTTTAGTTTGAGCATTTTAGGAATTTCTTTGTTTCGTTTAAATCAAATATTCTCGTGTATAAAACCCTCTATATATTTTTATTTCCTAAAAATACTATATTCGTATTGTTGTCTGCGAGCGCTTTCACACCAGTAGGCCAACATCTGTGTTGATTTTTTGACCTGAGCCTTCGGAGACAATAAATTTAATGTGTGTTCGTAGTTCTCTGGTTTTTATTCTGAACTATCCCTTGGCAAACCAAAATTATTTTTTTATTGCTTCACTTTACGAGAGCTCGGGCGGACACGTCGGTGTCGGCTTACTCAAAGTCAAATTAATACTATTATGTAATAACTAATAATAATTACAAAGCAATAGTAATTACCTGTTATTATTCTTAGGAAATCTAAATAAACTAATTCCTTTTCCTGTCACAGATGAACATCCGCGAAACGCACAACAATAACCAGAAGACATTTTAAATACTTATAAATTAAACTTTTAACTATAAACTATAACTATAAACTTATATATTTAACTTATATATTTTAACTATAACTATAAACTGTAACTATAAACTTTTAACTACTAAATAATTAGATAAATTGTCAAATGCACTTGTATCAGAATTGTATAGTCGAGAGTTTACCACAGATGCCTACGGACTATCGTAAGCAACTTAAAGTTGAAGAAAACGCACGTGTTTTTGACAGTAAAGCACCTTATTTGGGTCATGCGTATACAGAAAAGAGACACGAATTCCGGGCCTCGTGTCGCTTCTCTGTGTTCGTATGTTCTCTGGTTGGACGAACTAATACTGCATAGCAATATTTAAATAAAGGATTTTTCTTTCCTATTTTTTAAGAAGTTAGTCTTTTTTTGTTTATTATATTTTCATAATTGGTCCTTCATTGAAAATTTATTGTCAGCGAAGCTTTGCCTACAGAGTGTCTTAATTGTTTCCCCATAATATCTAATGTTTTATATATATGATTTAATGCTACTCTTTGCAGGTGTACCTAATGTTCAAACGCTCGCGCCTGCAGCGCCAAGTGACACGAACACAGGTGCAGTTACTGTAAAAATCCAACCCACGCCAGACCAAAACGATGTTAGTATCCCGTCCCTTCCAGAACAAACTGCAGATTCTGTATCACTCCAAACTACACCTTCTATTAACAATTGTAATAACAGTCGATTGACGGAAAGCAAACCTTCAACTCAAACATCAACTAGTGAGCTTAGACAATTACGGAGAAATCCTGCAAGGGGTGAGTTTGTAAATTTTACTCATAAATACATTCCCGTAATAGCAATAGGAAAACTAGAAGGTTTTTGAAAACTCTAGTAGACATTAGTAGATATTTTATTAATATGTATACAGTAAACTCTCTCTTGAACGGACAGTAGCTGTTCCGAATAAAGGGTCCATTTAAGGGAGGTGTCCATTGAAGGGAAAAAATAAATGTATATATATATATATATATATATATATATATTATATATATATAAGAAAATACTGGATATTATTGACTATCGGTATAAACAAACAACACAGTTTATTAGGGGTGCAGTCAGAATATTGGCCGGGATGTTAAAAAAACACTTGATTTTATTCCTTTTTCAAGACACTGTAAAAGACAATTATGTAAATATTTAAAAAATATCACAATTCTTCAGTGTAACTTACTAGTCGTTGAGATTATTTTTGTAAGCATTGAACACTCAACATTTATACCACACATTAAAATATACAATTATGGACATAATACATCATAAAATTTTTAAAATTTGTTGTAAAAATAGTAAAACTTGATTGATGGCATGTTTTAACTGGTGTGTATTAACTCATACAGAGAATGGAAAGAAAAAACAGTGTAATTAATATGTAATTAGGTGTAAATTGATGTTATCTTTCTTTACAAGAAATACTAGAGCCCCTCCTTAGGTGTCTATACTTTTTTAACCTTAATGGTCTTAATGGTATGCCACATATTATACAGAGGTGTAATTTTTGTACAGGTAAATATTTATTTTATTTTTGGTGTTTTTCTAGTAAATAACAATAAATGTTACTTAATTTGTCTATATCGGACTTTTTTTGATGCAAGATGTGCTAGATTTTATGAAACACATTTCCAAAAAAAAACACGTTTTAAATGGTTCTTTTCTTTTGCCAAAATACTTTTCACATACCATTTATTAAACGTTATGTAGATGATTTGATTCTATCGGTCCCTGAAAACAAGGTAACTGATGTTTTAAACACTTTTAATGCCCAATGTGAACACCTAAAGTTTACAGTTGAGAGAGAGGCTGATAATATGATTCCTTTTTTAGACATGCTAATCCATCGTGGCAATGATGGCATGCTAAAGACGGAGTGGTATCGCAAACCTTGTTTCAGTAACCGTTTCATAAACTTTTATTCTCAACATCCATCTAAGATGAAAACAAATTTGGTTTTGGCTTTAAAAACTAGGGTTATCAATTTTGTCACACATAGAATTCAGAGACAAGGGACTAAAAAAGTTGAGATCCATACTACAAGAGAATTCTTATCCCATAGGGCTGTTAAATAAACTCATTTTCGGTTCTCCTTTTCCTTCACAAGTTTCTGTCAACCAAAATTTCATAACAATGAGATCCGACAATTGACATTGACACATAACGCATCAATATTACCATCTAAAATAACTTATGGTTGCCTACCCTATATTTCATTTTTGACACCTAAGCTAATAAACATCTTTAAAAATGTTAGTGGCTTAAAAATTACAACCAAAAATGTGAAAACAGTATCGAAGCTTTACACAAAAACAAAAGATCCTTTCACAATACAGGAGTCATCGAATGTTGTTTATTTCTATACCGTGTAGTAACTGTAATAAAATTACATAGGAGAATCATCTCGTAATTTTCACAGCAGGGTGATATCACATCGCAGTGATATAAAAACCAAAAAAATCAATGCATGTGCATTGACAGAACATGCACTAACTCTAAAACATGAGTTCAATTTCGATGATTCCTGTATTTTGGCAAAAGAAAAGAACCATTTAAAACGTGTTTTTTTTGGAAATGTGTTTCATAAAATCTAGCACATCTTGCATCAATAAAAAGTCCGATATAGACAAATTAAGTAACATTTATTGTTATTTACTAGAAAAACACCAAAAATAAAATAAATATTTACCTGTACAAAAATTACACCTCTGTATAATATGTTGCATACCATTAAGACAGGTTAAAAAAGTATAGACACCTAAGGAGGGGCTCTAGTATTTCTTGTAAAGAAAGATAACATCAATTTACACCTAATTACATATTAATTACACTGTTTTTTCTTTCCATTCTCTGTATGAGTTAAATACACACCAGTAAAACATGCCATCAATCAAGTTTTACTATTTTTACAACAAATTTTAAAAATTTTATGATGTATTATGTCCATAATTGTATATTTTAATGTGTGGTATAAATGTTGAGTGTTCAATGCTTACAAAAATAATCTCAACGACTAGTAAGTTACACTGAAGAATTGTGATATTTTTTAAATATTTACATAATTGTCTTTTACAGTGTCTTGAAAAAGGAATAAAATCATTCCGAAAGCTCGACAAAAAGTCAAAAGAGTGTTTTTTTAACATCCCGGCCAATATTCTGACTGCAACCCTAATAAACTGTGTTGTTTGTATATAAATATATATATATATATTATATATATATATATATATATATATATAATATATAATATATATATATATAATATAATATTTTAAAAAAGCGATAAACGATTGTAATCAACTCTGATCAGTTAAATTACAAACACAACTATTTGGGTATGCACCGGAAAATAAGACAAAGAGGTACTCTTTTTAGTCTACCAAGCTTTCGCAAATCTTTATTTGCATCATCAGGGTGCAAAATTAGTACAAATTACAGAATAAAAAAGTATTTTGTATTCTACACTAATTGAGGTTAGTTGTCATGGTGTTTATAAATTGAAATGGACAACTCATCTAAATCCCACAAATGATAGCCAAAACTATCCAAACTTTTTTTTGTTTTAAAAACGTTCTTTTACAAAACACATATTTAAAAATACTTTAAAAAACATATATAAACATTTAGATAAAATTATGTTACAAAACAATTACAGAACATGTCATAATATAAGATTTAGGTTATAAATATTCTTATCAGAAACAAAAGAAATGGTTGTGAATTCATTAATACCAACTTAAAACGACAGAACGTTGTCATTTTAAGATCTAACTTTTCGTAATTGATATGATTGATGAATATTTAAACTGCCAGGTTAAGGAAATATTTGGAAAATTTCTAATAATTAACTTTATTCGATTTTATAATTAATTTCGAAAAAAAACAAATATTGACTCGGTCTTGTTTTATATAAATTAAAAATTTCAGAATTCATAAAATAATATAATCAAAATGTACTTTTGAATAACTTTCTCTCTTTATATTTAAAGCATATAACATACATTATAACATGTGAACACTGCCAAACCGAAATATTTTGTTCCATGGTTGACAATTGCGGCTATATTCTGGTTGTCTTTTCGTTAACGTTGTCCAAAAGCATATCTAAATGTATTAAAATAAAAATATCACTCACCTTTCTCTAAAAGTGTTTTTGTTAAGAGTTCTATACATTGTTTACTCTTGCCTGGTTTCATTTTACAAGTCACTTTACAACTCAGAATAGATGATTTTATGTATTTATTTAGCTTTGGATGTAGATTTTGATAAAATGTACCTACTACACAATATGTAACATGATATACCATTGGTGTAAACATTAAAAAGAGATAAGAAACGTAAAAAACATGTAATCAATACCGACACTACAAATTTAACTGAAGGTATCATTAAAATAATATCCCTTTCTTATGACACAGTCAGTCTTAATTGATAGTGAGCATTTCACTGATAACTGGACAAAGGCACTGAATCCTTTTATCTAAACTAGATAAAAGGACTTGATTTGTTGAGTTCATCCCTAAACTGAATAAAATTGTGAGTATTAAAAAGATCACTGTTTGATGTAGATCCACATGTATAATAGTTGACTTCTCTGTTTTATTTCAGCGGTAGATAATTCTTTTAGGTGTGTTTAATAAATAAACATTTTTTCTCAAAAATTTGCTTGCTTGTTTCTATCCGCTGACTACACTATGTCGTTTGATTATTATATCTCGAGACTTTGGCAGATCGGCTATATATAAGTTTTGAAGGATAGCTGTCCAAGTGTGTAATACGTCATGAAGTGAGACGAGATTTTTCAACAATCAGTCGTCTGTCTTTTGATTTTGTTTTCGTTGCTGGTCCTGATAATTCCTTCGGGGATCGAGGGTAAAGACCACTGTGTGCTTGGGCATATTGGAATCGACTAAGTTCAGGTCTGCTCCCTTCCAATGGCTCACTGCAGCATCATCATCATTCTCGCTTTATAACCCTGCGTGGTCCTAGCCTCCTCAAGAATTTCTCTCCAGTCGTCCCTGTCCATCGCCTTTCTCTGCCAAGCACGTATTCACATATTTCTCATGTCTTCATTGATGGATGTTATCAAGATACCTTGTTCTGGGTCTTTCTCTTCTTCTCTGACCAATGGGTCTATCAAAGAGCGGTTTTCTAGCTTGGACGATTTGTTCCATCTGCATTACATGACCTATCCACCTCAGACGTCCTATCTTATATGTTTTACGATGTCTGGTTCCTGGTATATTCTATAAAGTTTGAAGTTATATCGTCTTCTCCACACTCCATTGTCATTCACTGCTACATAGATTCTCCTTAGTACTTTTCTTTTGAAACATCCTTACATGTTTTTATTACTTTTTGTTAGAGTCCAGGTCTCTGAACCATATGTTAGGACTGAACATATTATTGTTTTGTAGAGTTTTATTTTTGTATTTCTTGATATAATTGTGGATTTAAGGAGGAGATTGAGCCCAAAATAGCATCTGTTGCCCGTGCAAATTCAGCGGTTTATCTCTGCATTAGTATTATTTTCAGTGTCAAGGAGCGCTCCCAGGTATACAAATTCGTTCACTGCTTCCATGACATTGTTTGCTTTAACAAGTGATCGTAGGATTTGTGGTTGCGTGCTTATTTTCATATACTTCGTGTTGTTAGTGTTTATTATTAAACCCATTTATGTAGCTGATTCTTTTATTGCTATATATGCCTCTCGTACAGCGTTTTCCGTTATACCAACAATATTGATATCATCAGCGTAGGCAAACATTTGCGCTGATTTATTATATATTGAACAAATGGTTGTGCTTTGTGACATACTTTTTCCAGAGCCAGATTGAACAGTATACAGTAGAGGAGGTCTCCTTGGCGCAGCCCGTTATTTGTTTTAAAAGGTTCAGACAGTTCTCCCTGAATTCATATTCTACATTCAACTTTTTCAAGAGTTAGTTTTGTTAAATTTACCAACTGATTTGGTATTCCTATCTCTTTCATTGCTTCCAACATTTCTTTACTATTTACAGAGTGTAAGGCTGCTTTGTAGTTTATAAATATGTGATGAGTGTCAATGCCATATTCCAGTATTTTTTCTAAAATTTGTTTCCGGTTTCCAATCTGATGAATTGTAGATTTACCAATCCGTTGTCCATATGGTGCCATACAGTGACATAGTACTGTGGAAAATATTTTATATGCTGCATTTAGAAGCTTAATTCCTCTGTGGTTAAAGCATTCAAAGATATCTCCTTTTTTGGGGCAAAGTGTTCCAATCATTGGGGAGGGTTTTATGTGTCCATATTTCTTTTATAAGCTGCTGTAATGCCATTATGGTATCGTGGTCTTCTTTGTATAGTTCAGCTGGGAGTTTATCCATTCCGGGGATCTGTTTCTTCAAGAATCGTTGATGATTCCTCTTCCCTCTCGTCTGTTCCCCTTACCTCATATCTTTCGTCTTCCAGGTTTTCTTATTATATACCTATATTAAGTGCCTGATTAAAGTATTCCACCTATCTATTCAATACATCTTTCCTTGTTGTTAATAGGTCGCCATTGTGACTTCTGCATTTTCTTGTGGTTGCCTTGAATTCTTTTCTGTTGATGTTAACTTCCTTATTAAATGTTCTGAATTCTTTTGAGCTTTTCTATATATTTAAGTTCCTTATTTAAGTGATTTCGTTTTTTTTCTTTTGTGTATTCTCTTTTCTTTTCTGCTCTTTGTTTGGTGAGTCTCTAATTTGGCTCTCTGCAACCCTCACCATGTTAATACTCAATTTTTTTGTATACCATTTAGCACAGATTACCCACAGAGTCCCTGTGCTTAGATATGTTTTATCGAATTACAAAAGTTGATTCTGACTTCTGATTTGAGCCTTATATAGTTGAGTATCAATTAACAAAGAAAGAAGATAACGTTATATTAGACGACTTCAATGCCAAATTAAGAATTGGCAGGTTTCTAAACATCTAAAGAAAATACGGTCTGGGGCAACATAATCCCGTGGTAAAATGTTTGTACAAGAATTATTTGATAAAAAAACAAAACACAATACCACACCTAACATCAGTCGTCTAAAACCTTTTTCCTACATAAAATTTATTATTGGCATTAATTTACTTGGAATTTTATTTTGTACCACATAAAACCTATATAATCTCGAGTTACGTATGACTCACTGGTGTAATCAACAAATAAATCATCTTTCATTTAAAAAAATATAACTTTATTTATTTATTTTATTTTACGCACAACAAGCCGTTAAGGCCTAGGGCATTTTTTTAAAACATTATCCTAATATTAACTAATTACAATTATTTTAAACAAAACTTTAACTTAAATATGTACATACAACATTCTTAACTACTCTGAAGACCTGGTGGACAATATCTCTCCATTCGCTTCTATTTTGTGCTTTTCTTTTCCAGTCCCTCACCTTCACGTGTTTAAGGTCTTCCTCCACTTTACTAATCCACCTCGTTCTGGGTCTACCTCTTCTTTTGGGGCCAATTAGTTTTCTGCCATTCCTTCCACATGTCCCAACCGTCTGATTCTTTGTGACTTGACGAACTTGGTAATAGTAGGTTCTTTGTATAAAGCCATTAATTCATTGTTGGTTCTTCTCTCCCAACCATCTTCTGTCTTCCGTCCTTCGAATATGCGTCTCAATATTTTCCTTTCCCATCTTTTCAGAGTATCCTCTTCCTTCTTATTTAATGTCCATGTCTCACCGGCATATGTTACTGTGGGTCGAATTACTGTTTTGTATATTCTGAGTTTACCTTGTCTAGAAAACGTATTTTGAGTTTAGTAGGTCGCTTAAACTATCTAATTTTTTATTCCCTTTTGCTATTCTGGCTTTGAGCTCCCATTTCTCTTTTCTATTTTCATCGAAAACTACACCCAGGTATTCAAATGTGTCCACCTTTTTAAAACTATAACTTTTACCACTTACAGACCTCACACTAAAGTCTTCTTTTTTTCCTTCTGTCCCTCCTATGATCATATATTTGGTTTTGTCTTCATTTAGTTCCAATCCGAATTTCTATGCTTCAATGATTTTCTTCACAACTCTTCTTAATTATTTCTCGGTTTTTGCTAGGATCGTTAGATCGTCAGCAAACGCCAAACACTGGTGCTCATTTTTCATGATGGTTTCTTCCACCTTCATGCTGCATTTTCTGATTACAGTTTCTAGCACTAAGTTGATAATGTAGTGGATAAAGGATTTCCCTGTCTCAAGCCTCTTGCAACCGTGTGATCTGATATGTGACCCTGCCAAGCAATTTCACACGTAGAGTTATTGAGTGTCATTTTAACTAGCGGGATCAGTTTCTTTGGTATACCCAAATGTTTCATTGCTCGATACATTTTAACTCTATCGACTCTATCATATGCTTGTCTAAAATCCACAAACAAAACATGCAGGGGAACTTTACTTTCTTAACAAGTCGTTTGTATCTCCTTTAATGAGAAGATTTGGTCTACAGTAGATCTGTCCTTTCTAAAGCCGGCCTGATAGCTATTAGTTTATTTCTCAATATTCTTGCCAAGATTTTATATACCGTGTCTAGTAAGGCTATACCTCTATAGTTGTCACACTTCAGTTTGTCTCCTTTTTTATGCAGAGGGCATATGCGGGCCTCATATCACTCCGATGGCATTATTTCCTTTTCCCATACTTGCACTAGTAGCTGATATATTTTTTTTTGTGGTTGTTCTCCACCAAACTTGATCATTTCTATGCATATGTCATTTTTACCAGAACTTCTGTTATTTTTCATTTCTTGTATTGCTATCACCACCTCTTCCTCTGTAGGCTGTCTTTCAACTATCACATCTTCTCCAACCGTCCAGTGGTCTACTGCTTCGTGCTCCACCTCACCATTTAATAATTCTTCAAAATGTTTTTTTCCATTCCTGCCGGATCGCTAATTAAATTTTTGTCTTTACCTCTCATATAACTACAGTTGCTTTGGTAACCTTTTCCCATCTTTTTAACTTCTTGATAGAACGACCTCACCTCTTTGTTTTTAAACTTCTCTTCTATCTCTTTTAATTTCAACTCATTGTGGTATCTCTTTTTCCTTCTACACAAAGCTTTCAATCTTTCTCGAATTATTCTATATTCTTGTTTTTTACACTCTCTATTATCTGTTAATATTTGTTGTCTGATCTTCTTCTTTTCCTTTGCTATCGCCTGACACTCTTCGTCAAACCAATATTTGTTTGTACTTCTCTTGGAGTCGCACTTAACTATTTTCTCGCTAGCTTCTCCTACGGCAGATTTAATTTGTTCCCATGCTTGATTTGTCTGTAAATTTTGGTCACATTGTTGTAGAATTTTATTTATTTCTTCATATTTATTTTTTATTTCTACCTCCTTAAGTTTTTCAATATTGTACTTTCTCTTCGTTTTATTGTTCGATTTTTCTTTTTCTTCCAGCCTCCTCTCACATGTAACTTTAACGAGGTAATGGTCCGAGTAGATTTCAGCTCCTCTCATACTTCTTACCTTCTGAACGATATTTATATATTTACTTTCAATCATAACATGATCTATTTGATTCACCGTCATTCCATCTAGGGAGACACCACCATGTTTTTCTCAATGGCAAATCCAATAAATCTTTGACCATTATTGTTTGTTACTTCGTGTTTACTGTAGTTACCAGTTACTGCAGTGTACAGATGTTCTTTTCCCACTTTAGAATTACAATCACCCATTATTATTTTTATATCACGTTTAGGTAGGCGCTCGTATTCATCATTTAGCTGTTCATAGTAAAGATCTTTTATTTCGTCGTCCTTGTCTTCTGACGGTGCTTGAATATTGATTATACTCCAATTCCTTTTCTTACTTTTAATTCGTATTCACATCCTATTAGAGATAGGATCACTTTGTCCTTGATACATTCTGCTACTAAAAAACCAGTTCCAAGCATTATATCTTTACCTCCACTTTTGAAGAGCACCATATCTTCTATATCAGTTATTTCCGATTCTAATTGTTTTGTCTCTTGAAGAGCCATTAAATCTATTTTATACTTCCTTGCCTCATTCATTAGTTGTTTTAGCGCACCTTCATAGAAGGTTCTCTGACAATCCATGTAGCTGAATGTATCTTGTCTTCTTCGGCTTTACCTTTGTATTACTGTCTTGTTTTGTTTCGTTTTCATAGTTCGTAATCCTTTTCTTCGCATTGTTCGTCATCATTTCTTTCCTTTTCATGCTGGTGCTTAGTTTTTTGCTTTGGTCTCTACCACCAACGTTTGGGTCATCCCATTCCAGCGCCATATTTCCTGATCGGAATATATATATTTTCTTATATCATACTTTTCTCCCTTCCTTTCTTAGTTCTTGCGCTTTCTGTCTGACATATTTCTGTACAATTATGTCTTTTTTGACAGGTCATCATTAATATAAATGACTTTTCTTTTGTCCTCTTCCTTTTAAAGCTCAACCAGACAGACTTTTTCTCCCGACAATATAACTTTACAATAATAAAAATTTTATAAACATATTGTTTGCATATTGTGCTTTTTATTTGGGTATTTGTATTTTTATTTGACACTGATTATCAATTTTAACAATATATTGTTATACTATAAGTGAAGGCAGTTTTGTCTTTAAATTGTAGGCCAACAAACAGACGTGAAAATTTCAACAAAGACTGATATACCTCAAAAAATTCCAGTAACGCTGCTTAAGCAAAATTCCAATATGGCTACTGAAACAAAAGTGCAATCAGATCCAATAGACAGTCTAAAAGACGTACCTCAAGAATTAACTGATGATACAGTAATAAAAGAGGAAAAGAAACCTAAAATTGAAACTAAAGTTGAAGTTGAAGAAACACCAAAAATCTCACCCAGTGCTATAACGATTAAACAACCAGTTATAAAATTGAATAGGTTATCTGAAGAAGATCAAATGCTTTTACAGAAAAGTCTTAGGGAATTTATGGAAGTTAAACCCAAATTAGCCAAAGATCTGGGTATTCAACTCAGTGACATCAAAGATCATTCAGAATCTGACGAGGATCTGGATAGTAGGTAAGTAATAATTAGATAGTTAGAGTTGTGCGTGTATATAGTCTTTTTAATTTTAGGCGAAAACGACATAATAGAAAACGTCCAGCATCAGGGAATCTCAGTGATGATGATTATCAACCAGATACGTTTACTGCTTTAGTAGGAAAACGACGAAAAGTAGTCAAAGAAGAAGTACCAGAACCTGTTCTTGTTAAACCAAAACTTCGAAGAGTTGAGAAGAAATTCGTTCCAGTTTTGGAAAAGTTATCTCAGGAAGAGTTGATGGAAACCAACACTTACCATAAATTTAATAAATCAATAGAACATGTTCTGAGATCAGGGGAAGATATTGATGTTGCTGATATAGGTAATTGAAATCTTATAATTTATTTTCCTGCAACTTTCTATCGACTGTCAAATTTTTCTCACGAAATAATGACATACTTGCTACTGGTTTCTTTAATATATTAGGAATCACTTCTCTTCATATTCGGATAGAAAACGTGAGAATATTCATTATATCCCTTCTTTTATTTAACGCATCACACGCTCCAATCGGTCCAATAACAACAGAGATATGTTGTAATGCCCTTTTAGCAATGCCGCTATGTTTGTTTTTTCCGTAATTGTTCTAGTTACCCTCTCCCCTTTCGGAGAGACTTCAAGTCGCTCTGAGGATGGTGGAGAGCTGGTGTGAGGAAGAAGGCCTGAAGGTTAACCCTAAAAAAACATCTGTTGTTCCTTCACCAGGAAAAGAGCACTGCAAGGCTTACAACCACTAGCGCTCAAGGGAGTAGAAATCCCATTCACAAGTCAGGCCAAGTACTTAGGTGTAATATTCGACCAGAGGCTGACATGGAATGCACACATTCAGAAAGTCACACAGACGGCCACTATGGCCCTGAACACATGTAGACGAATGTGTGGTAAGAATTGGGGGTTAAATCCTAAAATGAACCTCTGGTTATACACAAGGGTTATAAGGCCCATGATAACTTATGGTTCAGTGGCGTGGTGGAACAAAACGCAACAGTCCGGGGCGATTCGATTGCTTAGTAGCACGCAAAGGCTTGCATGCTTGAGTGTTACAGGAGCCATGAGAACAGCCCCAACGGACGCGCTAGAAGTTCTGCTAAACCTACCACCTCTACATATATACATACAGAGTGAAGCTAGATCAACAGTACATCGGTTGATCCAAGGCCAAGCTCCAATAAGTATGATGCAGGGAGCTGATAACTTAAGGCTATACCAGGACATAAAGGCAGACCCCGTTCTAGGAATGCCTGTAGACCGAATGGTTACGAGGTATAGTTTTAATAAAAATTTTCAAATTACAATACCAAAAAGAGAGGACTGGGAAACTGGTCCGCCGCTAACAGCAAACTCAATATGGTATACGGACGGCTCCAAAACAGATACAGGTACGGGGGCTGGAATATATGGCATAAAACCAAGGACGGAAGTCCGGGTATGTCTAGGAACATACGCGACCGTATTTCAAGCCGAATTAGCTGCTATACACAGGTGCGCTATGGAACTAATCGGCCGAAATGTAGATAACGACTCCATCGTTATCTATTCGGATAGTCAAGCGGCTCTAAAGGCTCTCAGTTCGGTACAGGTCGATTCATGGCTGGTATGGAACTGTTTGGATGTCCTCTCTCAGGTAGGAAGTCGAAACAGGTTGACACTTGCCTGGGTGCCGGGACATAAGGGCCATCGTGGCAACGAGAAGGCCGACGAATTGGCCCGAGAAGGCGCATCTACGCCACTGGTTGGTCCGGAACCCTTCTTTGGAATCGCAAATACGATAAAAAGGGCAGCCATATACAAATGGGTGCAACAGAAGTCTCTTGAGTGGTGGAACAACTCACCAGGACAGAGGCAGGCAAAACAGTTCATCAAAGAACATTCGGCTAAATTTACAGCAGACTTACTTTCGCACAGACGCAGGACTGTCAGAATGATAGTGGGTCTGCTCACTGGGCACTGTAGACTCAATAGACACTTGAGTCTCATAGGCCTGACAGAAGAGGACACCTGTCGTTTCTGTCTGGAAGAAGAGGAAACCGCTCTACACGTTCTGTGCCATTGCGAAGGTCTCGCACGAATGCGGTTTCTAGAACTCGGAGAGGAAAAACCGGAAGCACCAGGCTACATGAAAAGGCCACTATCAAGGCTGTTGAGTCTCATTAAGAGGACCAAGCTAGATGAAGTGCTTTAAAATAAGGGGGGAACACAATAGATCTGCAAAGGTCGCAGTGTATCAGGCTCTATTGGCCGCCCCATTTTCTACATTCTACATTCTACCCTCTCCCCTTTATAATGAGATCTCATACGTCACGATCCGTCGATCTGTGCGCTATTTTATTATTTTTACTCTTTCTGCAGTTTTGTAAACAGTCGACATCTTGAATTTTATTGTCACACCTAGCTATTTCTGAAATAATAGAGACTTTGAAAAGTGTAATTGGATCGAAACAATCGGGTTCATGCACAATGTGGAGGGAAGACTAGGGGTTGACTCTACGATTGTGATCTTTGTCGATTAGGTGAAAACATAGACACATCTTTGTTAGATATCTAAAATTATTGGTCCTTCAACGGTATCAAACGAGGATGTCCTAAACTCAAGAAAATTTACAATTACTAACTAAAGCAGAATCAATATCCTCGTAGTTTATATTGTGGAAACTTGTGCACTAAAATTTATTTTATTTTATCGGTTTTTATATGCGGTTTGTTTTAGGTGAGGATGGTATGATCCAGGAGGAATATCTTCTAGGTAGAAATGTAATGCAAGAGTTGTGTACGGAAGCAGCTAAATTAAAAATACTTGGTGCAATGGAAATGATACCAACGGAAAAGCTGACTAGACTGCTAAATATATTGGAATTAAATATTAGGGGAGGAGACAGGGTATCACCAATATCTGATGTAAGTTCATAATATATCTGTCGTTGTATGTGTTGTTAAATACAATTGAAATATATATTTAGATTATAATATACCAATTTATGTAATAAACTAATTTTCGTTTTGAAATTTTAGGAAGACAATGAAAGTATTCGGCAGTTATGGCTTGAGACAGCAATGGAAAGGGTAATGGGTGCAGCAGATGCCTGTTTGGTGTGTATGTATATAATGACATCCCGAAATATGTCAAAACGTGTTTACCTCGAAGAAGTTATAGACAGGGTAGTGCTTTACATCAAATATCAACTTCATAATACGATTTTTCCTTCGTTTGATTCAACGTATAGATTAGACAACAAAAAGAAAGATGGTCGCCGAAAGAAAAACACCCAAGTTTCGGAAAAGGGTATCCTAGTTTTGTATACAAAGATTTCAGAACTGGTAAATTTATTAGCAGAACTATTAAATATACAAATTTTGACCGATACTTCTGTGCTTCATGCTTCCTCCATGGGTGTTTCACCATTTTTTGCTGAAAATGTTAGTGAGCTTCAATTAGCTTGTCTGAAACTTGTCACAACGGTAAGAAGTACAAATGATCTATCTCTCAGTAAAAAAAAATCAAAAAATATTGTTCTTGTTTACAATTAGAAAATGTTTCCTATGTATACAGTATAATCTATTCCTTTTTTTCAGATCTTCACAAAATATGAAACACATCGAAGGCTGTTATTAGATGACATATTAGCTTCTATTGCCCGTCTTCCTAGTACAAAACGTAGTTTAAGAACATATAGGTTAAATAGTGAAGAGCACATACAAATGTTAACTGCTCTAGTTCTACAACTTATACAATGCGTAGTCGCATTACCAGATAACTTCCTACAAAAGGAAGGTAGAGATAAAAGCAATGACAAAGTACCATCCAAAGTAAGGACATTACAATATTTCTCTTTTGTGATATCATTTAACTTTCTTCTTTGTAGGTCGATACAGACATCCTTATTTGCAATAAATATGAAAAAGCGACATCGACTGCAGGAACATTCCTTACAGTTTTTCTTAACAAATGCGGAAATAAACAAGAAGATATCGATTACCGACCTCTCTTTGAGAATTTCGTTCAGGATTTGTTGTCGACTGTGAATAAACCTGAATGGCCAGCTACTGAACTTTTACTTTGTCTTTTGGGAAAGATGCTGGTCAAAAATTTCTCAAATAAAGGAACGGATATGTCTCTCAGGGTGGCCAGTTTAGATTATTTAGGGGTTGTTGCAGCGAAACTGAGGAAAGATAGTGTTTTGTCCAGATGTAAACTCAACACAATTGATCAGATGATTAAAGATATTAAGCAAGAGGAACAAAAAGACAGTGACGAGAAAGTTAGTAAGAATAAGGTAAGAATTTATGAACTTATTAAATAATTTGGTATTACTTCTCAAAGTATATAAATTTAAATTTAGGACTTCCTTAAAGTTGTCTGGTTTTCCTTTTGTATAGCTATTGTGATGTTTATTGTAATTTTTATTTGCAGTCTTTTAACACTAGCACTAAAAACACAATTAATTTCTAATATTTTATTTACTTCACCTTACAAATATATTTATTGGACTAACTCTCTACAATTTAATTTCCGTTATATGTTTGTCCCATTATTCTGGAGTTCCATCTAAGTTTCTTCCGTCGACAAGTTGCTATGCGTCCTCGTGACGTCAGAGCACCTGCTATCGTTCGCATATCATGATTGTAAAACCATGGAATCGTGTAGTCTAGACAAGTAACTTCTTCGAGCGTTCAGAACGAGTGGGCTGACGTAACAATATACTTGGCAACATAGAGCCAGTCAATCTGTATCACCAACATCTGATTATCTAGCAGCCTTTAGATTGTAGAACTATTGTATTTCCGAATTTTTCCTTACACTTATTTATTACTTACCATTTTATTATATTCTGTGTATTCTTTTTCAATTGTTTATATTTATTTTATAATTTTATATATTATAAATTTTATAATTTTACAATTTATTTTTTAATTGATCATCAACATTATTATTTCAATCTTTGTCGCGGACTTCTTTTTATTTTATACTATAGGTAATGGTTTTCGCTGCAGGACTACTTTTGATATTCTTTATAAATATCCTAACCAATATTCTCTTCGGTTCCTCATAAAACTTATTTTGATTTCATCAAGTATAATTTTTATTTCTTCGCTATGCTTCTTCTCCAACACAGTTTTATATTAATTCATCATGACATTTTCACTCTCGCCTTTCCAATAGGTATAATTAAGTTTTTCTCATTACATACTCATTTTTCATTATCTTCTGTGATCATTGCCTATGATCTCCTAGACTTTTCTTCACTACAAATTGAAAGATCTTTTGTATATAGCGTACGTTTTTGATGGTCCCATTATAGCGTGTGATGCGTTAAATGAAAGGGAAGGGGATAACGATTATACTAAGACAGAAAAAATAAACAAGGCGACTACCAAAAAGGGCACTACACAATATCTTCATTATGAATCAACATATAGTTACCTACGAGATATCATATAGCTAATATGGATAAAAATTGTTTTATTGACTTAAAGAAGACCTCCCTCTGACTGAGTACAAAATAAACAACTGATCGAATCTTAACATGCGACATAGCAAATGAAAGAAGAGTATATAACAAATATATTAAGATAAAAAAACAAACAAGGTGACTACCAAAAGGGCACTACACTTTATCTTCGTTATTAATGAACATATATGATAAACTTAGTAATCCGAAAACATTCTGTCCGAAAAGGCATTCTTAGAATATATACAGATTGAACGAATTTAAAACGGATCATACAATTTAATATATGTCTGTTTGAACTGCATTTGAAATAGTGGACCAATATAAAACTTGGACAAAAATAAATCCATACCCGGTGTTAGACATTGTATAAAATATCGTTCAACTATCCGTCTTCTTTTAGAACGCACCATAGTCTAGAGCGCAGCTCAAAGTCAATGTTGCCAATCGCCGGCGCCGTGTAATAATCCGATTTGCGGATCTTTTTGAGAATTATATCTTCGTATCTTTAAATAAATCGGATATTTGCCTATATTTTTCATTGTATTTATCAATCTACTACAACAGACTAATAACAAAAATAAACTTAATGGTTTGTAGTTATTTCAGAAGTTTGTAGTTATTTTAGAAACATCTAGTGGAATGATATTGGCAACACCGCTCAAAATCTCCATCTCCGATAAACGAAAGAGGGGCTTGCCTAAAGGCGGCCACTCACGATACAGCGGCGTTGTTCAACTTCGTTTTTACACTTGCTTTGATCATATTATAGAAAATCGAAATGGCTTGATTTAGCGAGAATTTTTTAAGAGAGTTTTTTAAATTATATAAAAAACAAGAATGCTTATAGCGAATAAAAGGTAAAACGTATCACGATAGAAACGCCCGAAAACAGGCAATGGACATTCTAGTTTTAAAGTTCCAAGAAGTAAACAAAGATGCGAATGAAGAGTATGTAAGAAAAAAAATTAACAATTTTAGAACATCCTATAAAAGAGAATTAAAATTAGCAATGCAGTCCAGTAAATCGGGTGCAGGGGCAGACGAGATTTATTTTGCACCAAAATCTTGGATTCTTTGCACCAGAATCTACGTTTTATTTTAGGTTTCTTTTTACGCTTAGTTATACACAAAGTAAGAGACGCTAAAATGATTGTTTGATTTGACATGGTCGAGAACCGAACAAATACTGCGGCGCAGTATGGTGTGTGGGCGCACCAGATATACCAACAAATTGAACAACGCCTCTGTCCGATTATGTCGAACGACACCGCTGTACCGTGAATGGCCGGCTTTAGGAAGCGATATGTGGTTTGACCACCTATGAATGAGTTCTTGAATTAGTTCAGAATCCAGCAGACCGCTGAAGTATTAGATTTTTATAATATAATTATTTAACAACCTTTTGTTGGCCAACCACCTACAGCAGAATTGAGCCGAAATACATAATATTTCGTATGTTCCGAATTTATTTCGTTCAATCTGTATATAACTTTTATAAAGGATTTTTTAAATAAAAGTTTTCACTGTGTATATTTTTAAACTGCCATTAATAGATCTCCTTCTGGTAATGTTAATAGTTTCTTTAAATTCTAGAGCCGTTTATGGAGAAGATAGTCAAACTTGACATATCTTTGATTATCTAACATACATATCTAATATATTTTATAAAACGAATTCTAACTACAATACACTTGTATAAATACACCTGACACATCTCCATGTGAATTTGATTTGGAAAAATTTAATTATTTAATTTAATTTGAGCATACTGTGGATATTTTGCCTAGTCCATATTATCCGAAGTCTAAATCATTCTGTTGCATTTTTACCGATCCCACATATTTGCTTAGAAATTTCTTAGCGCTAAGGAGAGAATAGTAGTACATATTAATTTCAGTACAAGTAGCGCTACCTCTCACTCTTACAAAAAATTTTTTACTCAAGACCAAGAATAACTCATCACCATTTCCGATAATTTAGTGTCTACATTTTTGATACTCAACTCATATATAGTTTCATATAACATATTATGTATTCAGTACCCTATATTTTATCTCAGTCATTGTAGTTTGATTTCTTTAGTCATTCTGTAAACCTTTTTACTTCTCTATTCTGCTTCGTATACAAATAAACATCTTTCTGTTTTAGAAAAAGAATAATGTCGTCACCAACGATCACGAGCGTGCGCAATTCCTCCAGCGGGTTTTACTGGACTTTCTCGCCGTAAATGCTCAAAATGACGAAGCTTACAAATATGCAAGACACTTTTATATAGCCCAGTGGTACAAGGAGGCAGTCTCTGAGAAGACTCAATTGGCTATGGGCGATAAGAAAAACAACAGTTCTAGAGAACATAACCACCGGTCGAAGAGGTACAGAGATGAAGAGAATGATGAGTCCGAAGAAGAAACGGAAAAGGACAAGAAAAGTTCGGAGCAGGAAAATACAGAAAGATTTGCACAAATAGATGAGAAGAAGAAATTCCTTTTGAGTAAAATAAAGCCGTTCCAAGAGACAATATCGTCAGGGAACCGAGTCCAAGTTTTCCAAACCTACATTGACTATAGCAGTGCAGAACTGATTGCACAATTTCTTGCTTCCAAGAGATACTTCTCTCAGAGCTTCGACCAATATCTAAAAGCTGTAAGTATAACACAAGTTTAATTATGTACTTATACATATCTATTACATATTTCAACAAATAAAAAGCATGCATTAACATACCAAACGGTTATGAAAAGTAAGAATAAATAAGGTAACTGCCTATCGTTCACGGATAATCTTCCTCAAATATCTGTGCTATTTATTGATTGTTAACTAGGCATCCGTTAATTTTAATGCAATATTCCTGTTCAGCCAATGCTTTATTCATAATATCTTGAATCCATGTTGAAAATCCATCAATACGTCTTCTGTATTTTTTTCTTTCTGTAAATCACTAGCAGATTTGAAACAAGGTTCATTTATTTTGAGTCAAGCTTTTTTTCTGTAAGAGTTTTATCAGATTGTCATGGAACAGTTTATCGAGGACTTTATTATAGTCAATAATAAATACATATATTGATTTATGTCTAAGCATCTCTGAAACATAACATTAAGTCCGAATGGCTTACCGAGTGCCTAGATCATTTCGAAAGACAAATTGAGTTCCGCTGATCTCCTGTTCTAACTTTCTGTATATTCTAACATAGCATTGTAAGAATGCTTTCAGCATAATGTCTCATCAGGCTTATAGTTATATCTTGTTACTATTACATTATTCGGTGTCTTTACATGCATTTATACCTTGTTTATTATTACAAACTTTTATGTAATATATTAATGCTTTTTGTTCAGTATTGAATTTTTATTTATTAAAATTGAATTTGATTTTATTATACTAAATACCACTTTTTTATGTAGATTTTGATAGTGTTGAAAGAAACTTCGATTGCCATTAGAACAAAGGCAATGAAATGTCTTACCATGATAGTTGAGGCAGATCCATCAGTTCTGGGAAGACATGATATGCAAATGGGTGTAAACCATTCATTTCTTGATCACTCTACGTCCGTAAGGGAGGCAGCTGTAGATTTAGTAGGTAAATTCGTGCTTAGTCGTCCAGAATTAATAAGCACCTATTATGAAATGCTATCAGCTCGAATATTAGATACAGGTGTTAGCGTAAGGAAGCGTGTAATCAAAATATTAAAAGACATATGCATAGAGTGCCCTGAATTTCCGAAAATTCCAGAAATTTGTGTAAAAATGATTCGGAGGGTAAATGATGAAGAAGGTATTAAGAAATTGGTTATGGAAGTGTTTCAGAACATGTGGTTTACTCCAACCAAAGATTCCTCATTATTAAGAAAGGTCATGAACATTACTGATGTCGTTGCTTCATCAAAAGAAATTGGTTTAGAGTGGTTTGAGCAACTATTAGTTAGTGTAAGTAGTTTTTGTAATCAAAACTAATATTGTTATTCTAATTGGCTTTACCTTTCAGTTATTTAAACCAAAAGAAGATAAAGATGATTCAACAAAAGTAATGACAGAACCTCCTAAAGCTCTTTTGTTAGCTTGCAGGCAAATTGTCGATTGTTTAATAGAAAATGTACTTAGTCTAGAAGAAAATACAGATAACAGTGGTTCATCACAAAGGCTTGTAGCCTGCTTAACAACTCTACATCTTTTTGCTAAAATTAGGCCTCAATTGCTAGTGAAACATGCTAGTACACTTCAGCCCTATCTAGGTTTAAAATGCCAATCAGCTGGTGACATTCAAATAATAAGCAGTGTCGCCAGAATGCTTGAATTAGTAGTTCCTCTTATGGAGCATCCTAGTGACTCATTTTTAGCCCAACTAGAAGAAGATGCTATGAAGCTGGTGCTACAACATGATAGACCTATAGTGAGCAGTTGTTTGTCTTGTTTGGGTTCTATTATCAACAAAGTTACCCATAATTATAAGCTGATTAGAGACTGTTTTAACAAGTTTTATGAGTATTTAATCAGATATAAAAATTGGGTAGACATGGATTATAGTACTCACCAAGAGGTAAAATATAAAGCTGTTTTTAGGAGATCCTTGTTTATAGTGGGACTCTTGTTGAGACACTTTGATTTCAAGGATCCTGAGGTGTTAGGGGATTTATCGGTAAGTTGTTGTTTTTTTAAATTATTGTTTATATGATCCATGTAAATTAATTCTGTTACTTTCTTTCATTGACGACTTTATCGCAATGCATGATTATATTTTTAATTGCAGTCCGACATTAAGGATGTAGTGTATCAAACCATGACATTTTTTCTCCAAAGAGATGATATAGATATACAGGTGAATACCTTGAAAGCAATTGGCAGTGTCTGCATTAGGCATTACGAATTTATGTTGGAAAATGAACTCAAGGTATTTTATCATAAACAGCTTACATCAGAGGATGCTCCATTAAGAATGAAAGTGGAAGTTTTGATTAACATTGAAAACTATCTAGTGGAAGAAGAAAATAGAATGATACAGCAGGATTTAGAATGTAAGTATTACTTTTTCACTCTTAATATTGATGTTTTGTCCTATCAATTTAATCTAATAAAATATCAACATACCTTAAACCGGGGTTACTTTGCTCCGTTTTTAAAGGTCTCTGAAGAATTTTTAACAAAATGTTTATAAAATTGAGAGATATCTTTATTTACTTGAATCCTACTTGTAAAGAATACTTTAAACAATTATGGTTTAAATACTTTAAGCTCAAAAATAACGAATTATTGTTATCTATTTCATTTGAAATGTGGAGCAATGTCTCCCATAGCCAAAGGTTACTTTGCCCCACATCAAAAATACCGTCTAATCGTTAATTAAAAACACGAAAAAAAATATTTTTTTAGAATTTATTGCAGAAAACTAAAACATGTTTTGTATTATATTAATAAATTACAAAAAAATGTTATAAGGTACCTCATAAAATGCAATAAATAAGGTTTTAGAAACAAATACCTAATATGTGTATTGAATATAGCATTGTACCAAAATGTGCAACTGCATATTTAGTCACTGTACGAACAAGCCAGCTCAGGCACAGAAAAGATACCCCTTTTTGTTACTTGTTTGGGAGGTTTAATAGATCCAAGAACATCGGACCAAGAGTATGTAAGTTGATCTTTCTTTGGGGACCACTTCCACAAGTTAAAATCATCCGATGAATCATCATTTAAACTAAGTGTGTTCTCTCCCCTAAAAGTAGAAGATTCTGGCAGCTGCTCGTCATTTGCTGTAGTGGAGCTCGTAGGTTCCTCAATTGATTCATCAACGCACACACTTTCCAGGAGGAATTTTGATTTTCTTTCCGCAATTCTTTGTGGTACAAGTTGACAAAGATCTTCGTGTTTCAAGTATTTGAAGAAATGCAAAGTCTGCAATATTTATGTTGTTTGAACTTCGAGGTTTACGGGTTAAAACTTCCTGAACATTGATCCCACATTTGAGAAAACCGGATATCAAATTATCTTTGATGGTTGGTGCAATAATTTCCATCAATTTTACTAACAGTGGTGGAAAGTTCTGTTTCTGAATATTTGTATTTTTAATACCTTCTTCGGTATTTTCCAGTCCTATAGCACTTTTTTCCAGGCTATTTTAACTGTTCGATAAAATACCACGTCCACAGGCTGAGTTAAGTGTGTGCTATTGGGGGTAAACAAATTAGGCTTACTTGGTTTTCTCGACATAATTTGAGAATCTTGTCAAAGGAGAAGAAAGGTTGTCGCATATTAGGATTTTCTTTCCTTCTAATTTTCTTAGCCTAGGTATCATCCGAAGCTCCAGCCAATTAGTAAATATATTGCTATCAAACCACCCAGAAGAACTAGCGTTATATCGACATCCTTTTGGCCCATTGTCTGTCCGCGTGGTCCACATCTTGCTGGCTCGATAAACAATATATGGAGGCAACAGTTCTTTAGCCGCATTTCCTGCAAACATGACGGAAATTGGTGTCTTCGATGCATTTCGTACTAATTCAGGATACTTGCAACCTTTCCTCACGAGTATCCTCTTTTAAGATTTGCAGACTCATTTACATTCTGAGTGCAGGCGCCCTTAATGATCGAAATGCTTTGATCAGAGATTCTGTGGACCTAGCAATAATGTATATGTCATCTGCATATCCGACCACTTGTACAGATTTATTAAAGATGGTGAAATTCGTATTAATAAAGCACTCTCGAATTACTTGTTCTGGCATAAGGTTAACGAAGAGACACGACAGTCCACCTCCCTATCTCAGTCCATTTTTCAATGGAAGGGTCTTGAAAAGTCGTTTTGGATTCTGACTACAGTCTCTACGCCTGTGAGTGTTAGTTCCGTTAGTTGAACAAGATGAAGTGGCATTTGAAATTCCACCATAGCCTGTAGAAGTTTTTATCTGTGGAGTGAGTCGTATGTGGCTTTGAAATCCTTGAATATGTGGTGGGTGTCGACTCAAGTCGAACTCAAGCCTTTTCTCAAGAATCTGCCTGACTGTGAAGATTTGATCCGTTGTTGATTTATTGGGTCGGAAACCGCACTGGTTGTTCCCATTTATTTGTTCAGCATAGGGATCAATCTTCTGTACAATACGTTGGACAATACTTTATATGCCACATTAAGTAGGGTGATGCCTCTATAATTATCACACAGCATCATATCTCCTTTTTTGTGAAGAGGGTGCATTGCACCTAATTTCCAGTCTGTGGGCGTTTCCTTCCGTTGCCAGATTTCGGTTACTAATTTATGCATGTGTTTAAAAAGGGTGTCACCACCATTTTTAAAGAGTTCGGCAGGAAGATTGTCCAAACCATGGGCTTGGTTATTTTTCAGTTTTGAAATGGCTTCTCTAATTTTCTCTTCGGTGGAGGGCGGCTCTTGAGCGTTTTCATCAATTTCAGGCAAAGTAATTTCTATTTGGTCTTCTTTACGACTGTCGCTAAGCAGTTCTTCAAAAGATTCGTCCACCTGTTTAGTATCTGTTCTTTGTCACTAATTATGGAACCATCTCTGTTTTTGCATGCTGTTATTCTGGGTTTGAATTCTTTTCTGCAGTTGTTTATCTTCTGGTAGAATTTTTGCGAGTCTTTTCTATTGTGGTGGTTAACAATCTCGTTTAGAGCGTTTTCGTATGACTCTTTCTTTTTCCTTCTAAACGATTCTTCTTCTTTTTTCTTCTCATCTAAGATTTTCATAGTCTTCCAGGTTTGATCTCGTTCTGCGCTGCTTATATGCTCATATACTATGAAGCATATAAGTCTCTTATATGCTTCATTTTTCTGTTGATTAATGGGTCTACATTCTTCGTCAAACCAATCTTCGTTTATTTTAGCCTGGTTAGGTTTTAAAAAGCCTTTAGCCGCTGTATGGACAGCTTCCCTGCATTTGTTCCAGTGTTCTTCTATACTTAAATATTCGTCGATTCTTGTCAGCTCTTCATTTAAAATTTTCCTGTAGTTATCCCTAACGTCTTCAGATTGTGGCACATCAGTATTATATTTCGTAGATTTTGTGCTCTGGTCCTTCATAGCGTTTGATATACGAGCCCTGAGTTTTGTTCTTAAAAGGTAGTGGTCAGAGTCTATATTAGCACCTCTACATGCTCTTACACCTAGTACGTCCGAAAAATGTCGACTATCAATTTACTCATCGTCAATTTGGTTTTTTGTTTGACCGTATGATGATTGCCATGTGGCTTTGTGGATATTTTTGTGAGGAAAACATGTACTTACTACCACCATTCCCAATGATGCTGCGAGTTCAATCAGACGTAAACCTTTTTGGTTGCTGACAGCATGAAGACTATGCTCGCCGATCGAGGGTCGGTATAGTCTCTTGGCAGACTTTAGCGTTAAAATCACCAATAATAATTTTTATGTCGTTGTTCTGACATTGTCTGCAACTGCTTTCTAGTTTCTCGTAAATATGTTCTTCTCGTAAAATATTCTTGGACTTGGAAGGAAAGCTATGACTTCTGATTTCAATCGTTTATTCATTATGAATCCCACGCCAAAAATATGATTATTTTTATCAACGCTGTAGTAGAGAGTGTAGTCTTTTTTTTTCTAGGCTAGCACTACCTGTGCACCTGATTTCTTGAAGTGCTATAATGTCTGCTCAATATTCATTAAGTGTATTGGACAGGATTCTTAGTTTACCGTGCGTACGCACATTCCAAGTAAATAAACCAATATCAATAACCTTATTTCGCTTGCCAAGTCGTCGACAAAAAATCCGTCCGGCTGATTGTTTTGAAGTTTCCGTAATAGAAGAATTTTTACAGGAGGGGTGTTAACCCACTCCTCAACCCCCAACCTGGAGGACCAGTTCACTCGTTCTTGTCAGTTGCCGACCCAACCTTTCGCACGGGTTGGATACCGGATCTCCAGTTGGGTTGCTCGGTTTAACAGGGAACACCAACGTGAAGGTCAGAGTCGGATTTGAGTAGAAGAGGCTAAGTGGAGTAAACGGAATCAACTCCATATTTTCGCATTCTACTCCTTTGTCCCCCACAGTATTATATTATCAAAATAATATATTGTATATTTTCTTACAGCTTCATTAAATTTTCAGTAAATCTTTCAATGATAACCACTTTTAATTTTTAGGGAATAAGAGGTCTAAGGAAGAGAATTTGAAAGAGATGGGCGATGTGTCTTCCGGAATGGCTAGTACAGTGATTCAGCTCTACCTCAAAGAAATTATGCAATCGTATTTACATCACAGCGTGCAAGTCCGACAGCCAGCCCTTAGAGTGATACAATTAGTTTTACAGCAGGGTTTAGTTCACCCTGTGCAAATAGTGCCCTATTTAATATGTATGAGTACAGATTGTGAAAAGGTTGTGTCGCATAGTGCAGATAAACAGTTACTGGAAATTGAGAAGAAATATCCAGGTTTTATACACACCAAGTCGTCATTGGGTATACGATTGTCTTACCAACTACAGAAGATCTTGCAAAGTGATAGCATTGTTCGAGGTTCAGGCGTGAAAGAACAAGGGGAGTATCCATCAGCATTAAATGGCTATCTGTACTCAATACTGCGTAGTTCAAGACAACAAAGACGTGCCTTAATACTTAATATTTTAAAACAGTTCGATGAACAAGCTGTAAGTATTGTGATTGTCCTAAAACTATAAAGTGATTAGATGGAAACCAATACTCATCTATGTATATAGGGAGCTTATCTTAATTGTAATTGTTAAACTCTTTATCTTTTTAATTTCTTCCTCACTTTTCGTTATCATTTAGGTTTCTGAAACGTAAATGTGTAGTTTCTTCCGTTTTGTGGCTATGCTTTTTGTTAAATTCTGTTAATTTCTGTGTATAGTATATTATTTTGTTTGATAACAATTGGACTCCGTTATGCAACAAGGAACCAACTAACATTTTTTCGAAAATGAAGTTCGTGGAACGAATAGACTGTAAATAATATTATTCATATTCTGCAATAACGAGCCAAATGTTCTGGCACCTCAGCACCATCTAGTGGACGATAGAACCATATTGCAGAATCATAAATTCGGTGGTACAGGTTTTCAATTTGGAACCAAGTAATTTTGGTTCCTTGTTGCAGGTATCTGTAACATTCGATAGTTAGTTCCATGTTGTAGATTTATTTCATTAGGGTTCTAATTACCATTGGCAATCAATAATAATTGTGAAAATGTTGATCATCTTGAAAATCATCATGAAAATCAACTTCCACTGAAGCTTATATTTGCAATTTGCAAGAGGTATGTGTATTGATTTATATTTTTTTAACTTCTAACCTTAAAAACATTTTTAAAATTGTGTAGAATATTGTATTTTTTAGTTGCTTGTATCTAATATTATGTTAGTTAACAATTTTTAAAATAATAAGCTCTTTTTGTTTATAATTTTTTAATTCCACTTTGATTTTTTTTGTAATATTTAAGTTGGTTCCTTATTGTTATTGCAAAATTATTTTTTAGGTACAGCCAATTAATAGCGAGGAAAAGCAGGGACCAAGTACCAGCAGTAGTTCATGTGCAGAATTAGAAAACAGTAATTTTAATGAACAGGATATATCGATTCACGCCAGACAAGTTCTTAGCGAATGGGGACCCGTGGATGTTTGCCTAGAAATTTCTGCCGGCTTGTATATGATATAGACAAGACTTGAATGAAATAGAATTAGAAATAATATGTTTACAGTTATGAGTCATATTTATCGTAACATTGCCCCCCTCTTAAAGATGGTTCCTCCTGGAATTATGTCGGAACTGGAACTGGAACGGTATGCTGGTATCGGCAACTGGACCTTCTTTTACAACTTTCCAGTTGTATAAAAATTAAAAGCGACGGTTTTCACTCCGCACCAGTAACTACGTGGATTGCAATAGACTAACACCTGGACTTTAGTGTCTTTAAAGATCTCCTTCATCATACTTCGGATAACTCTCCAATCTAATTGGCGGCATTTCAACTTTTGCACGTCGGACTCTAGCACGTGCTCTCTCAATTGAGCTTCCCATACATCTCGGTAGGTATGCTGGTCACGGGCAGTATGTTTTGTTACCAGGTAGAAAAGGTAACGTGATGCATCTTGGAGTTTCAAGGCTTTCTAGACTAATCATCGGAAAGCGCGAGTAGATCTTGCTTTTCTTCAGTGGTAATACCATGTCTTGCTTTACTGGTACCTCCATAGGCCCCCATGAATTCCTCAAACCTGAGGTAAGACACATCTTGGACTGGATTTACTTCCACTTTTTCTACTACGTCGTGGTCACCTTCGAAAGACGCCAGCCGGTTATGGTGTACTATCATCGGCTTCCCCCTCGAAATCTTGCTTATTCGGTAGATGACATCATTGATCTTCTCCAGAATGAGGTATGGACCTTCCTAAAACTGCTGCAACTTGGAGAACAACATTTTCTCTTCTTGGGATTATAGAACCAGGCTTTGTCGTTCTTCTTAAAACACCCCTTTTCGTACCGTTCACTACTGCTAGAAGTTCTCTTTTCGTGACGCAATAATTCCGCTCAGGTTTTGAAAGAACTTTACTAAAATATCCAAGGACTCATTCCTGTCCTCTCTCTCCTTCTGGCAGTGGATACCCTAAAATTGGTGCTGTGATTAAATGCTTTTTCAAGATCTCAAAGGCATTTTGGCAGTCTGTATCCCAGCGTTAATCTCTTGCTTCCTCTGTAAGTCGCGTTAATGGCTTAGTGATATCTATTAAATTTCTTAATAAACCTCCGGTAGTAAGTACATAGTCCAAGAAAACTTCTCACTTGATGTTTGTAACTTGGTTCCGACCATTCCTTAATGGAATCAATTTTTCTTTATCCACGGCCACTCCTTCTTTACTGACTATATGACCCAGATAATTGACTTTACCTTGAAATAGCTGGTACTTCTTGGGGTTTAACACCAATTAAGCAGCTTTAAGTCGATTAAAAATGTTTTCTAAATTCTTCAAATTCTTCAGATGGTCTTCAAATGTCTACCCCAAGACGATTATGTCATCTAGATAAACCAGGCATGTTTTCCAAGATAAGCCTCTCAACACATTTTCTATAAGCCTCTCAAATGTCGGCTGTTTATAACTGTCGGGCGTATAATGGTTCTGGTCGCTCCAGTATCCCCCAACAACGTATGTCTTTTACCATTTATTTCTCCATCTACATATACACTATCTTCACGACATTTCAAAAAAGCTATTAGTATGAGAGGGTCTTTGGAAAAGTTCCGGGTCGAAGCTGCCCCACTAAGGCCGACCCGTTCTAGTTTTCCTGATGGTGGGTTTCCTGATTTACGTCGTACCTACGGTGCTTACATGAACTTCGTACGTGTCCTATTTCGTCACAATTCCAGCATCTTATGGTCTTCGTTTTCTTGTATGTAATACTTTTCATCATATTAACGAGCTGGTCAAGTTTATCTTCATCTCCTTCCTCTTTTACCGTCCGAACTTTACTATATCCGCCAGAGGCCTGCGTAGCTGACTCGTATTCGAGGTCGGCAGATAATACATCAACCAGCGTCTTGTGACGAGCTAATCGCAGTGTTTTCTGCATTTCATGATCGAAGACCATCAATCAATGTTTGAACGGCCAATTTTTCCATCATGTCTTCGGTAGCTGTTGGATAAGCTTATAGTACTAATCTGGCAATATCTACCTCATATTCTTAAAGAGCCTCGTCTCTCTTTTGTCTTCGATTTTTAAACTGCGACTGATATCCATGCTAGAAATGTTCGTGGCCGTATCGCATATTTAACCTCTTCTTGAGTTGTTCGAAATCATCCGTCTCATCTACGGCTATGGTCTGAAGCACATCTAAGGCATCTCCTCGAAGAGCGATAGCCAGGTTTACAGCCTTTTCTTTTTCAGGCCATCCATTCGCTTTTGCAGCTGATTCGAACTGTTTCGTGTAGTTGTTCCATGACGATTTTCCGTCGAAAGTTGTGACTTTGACATAAACAGAACCTCCACTTCCTTCAAATTTCGGCCGTGTTTCCAACTCACATTTTGTCCCGTTTTCTTTTGTCTCTACTGTAATTGGATTGTTTCCTCTTTCTGCTGTCCCTGTTTCCTCCACCTTCTCTTTCCATATCTTGTCTTCGAATGCCAACATATCGGCGGCAACTTGGTTTTTTAACAAAGACATTCTATCGTCGAGAGCAGACATCTCAGAAGTGACTTTAGAGATTTCCAAAGAGATGTTAGCAGAAACTTTGCTTTCTAGAGAAGCAATCTCGTTAGAAACTTTGTCTTCTAAAGAAGTAATGTCACAGAAACTTTGGCCACATCAGAAGAAACTTTCGAAATATCGTCAGAAAGTTTGCTCTCTAACGATGCGATGTCACCAGAAACTTTGTTCTCTAATTTCGAAATCGACGGGATGACAGCAGCATGTTTGTCTTCAAATATATAAGTTTCTGGATCCAAACCTTCTTCCTTCAAAGCGTTCTTTAGTCGTTGGACTAAATCAGCCTTTTTTCCGGTAGAAGCTAATTCTCTGACCTCGAGATGTCTTCTTAAATCCGTAACTTTTGACACCAATTGTACTGTTTTATTAATCTAATTTATTGTCTTTATTTATTATAAAAAGGGTTCTACACTTTTACAATACTTACAAGTTTATTAAAGTCTTTATTAATTTGTATATACAATATTCATAAATTTATTCGCCTATATTTATTTCCGAGTTACAATTTAAACTCGATACAATTATATTATCGGACTGACTTATTTTCAAATAAAATGTTTCATATATTCTAAATAACCGTTATCTGGACTCTCGGCAAAGGATCGATGACCTTCTCGAATAGAGTGGAATCCCACACCAGACATGTTCTTAGCGAAAGGGGACCCGTGGATGTTTGCATAGAAATTTTTGCCAGCTTGTATATGATCTAGACAAGACTTAAATGGAATAGAATTAAAAATAATATGTTTACAGTTATCAGTCATATTTATCGTAACATTGCCTCCCTCTTAAAAGATGGTTCCTCCTGGAATCTTGTCGGGACTGGAACTGGAACGGTATGCTGGTATCGGCAACTGGACCATCTTTTACAACTTCCAATTGTATAATAATTAAAAGGGACGGTTTTCTCTCCGCACCAGTAACTATGTGGATTGCAAAAGACTAACAGTTGGACCTCGGTGTCTTTAAAGATCTCCTCCACCATACTTTAGATAACCCTCCAATCTAATTGGCGGCACTCCAACTTTTCGACTGAAAAACTTCCGTCGAAAGACGGATGCCAACCCTGGTGCGTCTTTAATACTGGCCGGGATGGTAAGGGCCAGTGAGCAGTTATCGGAAATCGCGAGTAGATCTTGCTTTTCTTCAGTGTTAACAGCATGTCTTGCTTTACCGGTACCTCCATAGGCCTCCCCCATGAATTCCTCAAACGTGAGGTCAGACACATCTTGGACTGAGTTTACTTCCACTTCTTCATCTACGTCGTGGTCACCTTCGAAAGATATAGTGTACTATCATCGGCTTTCCCCTCGGAATTATTCGGTAGATTACATCATTGATCTCCATAATGAAGTATGGACCGTCCCACAACTGCTGCAACTTGGGAGAGCAACCTTTTCGCTTCTTGGGGTTATAGAGCCAGACTTTGTCGTTGTTCTTAAAACACTTCTCTGTCTCGTTCCTGTCCTCCTTCAATCTGGGATAGCACTCCTTCAATTCCCACATTACTTGCATCTATATCTAAGATAAAATCTCCTTCTGGCAGTGGATACTCTAAAATTGGTGCTGTGATTAAATGCTTTTTCAAGGTCTCAAAGGCATTTTGGCAGTCTGTATCCCAGCGGTACTCTCTTGCTTCCTCTGTTAGTCGCGTTAATGGTTTAGCGATATCTGCAAACTTCTTAATTAACCTCCGGTAGTAAGTACGTAGTCCAAGAAAACTTCTTACTTGATGTTTGTCGGCTGGTTCCGACAATTTCTTAATGGTATCGATTTTTCCTTTATGAACGGCCACTTCTTTACTGACTGCATGACCCAGATAATTGACTTTGCCTTGAAATAGCTGGCACTTCTTGGTGTTTAACATCAATTGGGCAGCTTTTAGTCGATTATAAACGTTTTCTAAATTCTTCAGATGGTGTTCAAATGTCTCCCCCAAGACGATTATGTCATTTAGATAAACCAGGCCTGTTTTCCAAGATAATTCTCTCAACACATTTTCCATAAGCCTCTCGAATGTCGCAGGAGCATTACAGAGTCCAAATGGCATAACGTTGAATTGCCACAATCCAGATCCTGTTATGAAGGCTGATTTTTTGTTATCTACTGGGTCCATTTCTACCTGCCAGTATCCAGACTTCAAATTCAAAGTAGAAAACAATTTACTTCCAGCCAATGTGTCCAATGTGTCGTCGATCCGAGGCAGAGGATAACTATCTTTCTTGGTATCGTTATTCAGCAAACGGTAATCCACACAGAGCCTAGTCGTTCCGTCTTTCTTCTTAACCAGGACCACCGGAGAGACCTATGGACTTGTAGAAGGCTCGTTTCAGCTTCCTCTCTTTTCGTCTGTGGTAATCGTCGAGCTGTTTGACGAATTGGGCATTTTCAGGATCAGTTTTATGCTTAATAACGGTAGTTCTTCCCGTCTTTCCTTTCGGTACGAAAATATCACGATACTGCCGAAGAAATTCCCTTAATTTCTTTTCTCCATCTGATTTAGAGACTGTCCAGCAACTGCAACCATTTGGTCGAATTTGTCGTTGGAATTATCAGATGTTGTCGTCTGACGGGTTATGGATGTCACAGGTACACAAGTTCCTACTTTTGTCTCTTTCTTGATGGTCACTGGGTAGTCATTGACATTGATAAGTCTCACAGGTATTTCTTTAGCCAAAGTGACCAATTCCTTTCCAATTATGATTCCTCGGCCAACCTCATCGTCATGGTTCCAAGGCTCCATAATAACAGGTGCCCCTTCGCCCACAATTCACTGTAACCGTGCTACTATGATCGTTTCACTTCTCTCAGGCACGACTGTATCTTCTTTAACAGCTGCTTGCACAGTGTTGTCATCATGTGGATGAAGAAATACCTTCTCGTTACCAACTTTGACTACCTTATTCTTAAAATCCAATTGGAATCCATGCATATTCATTACGTCCATTCCTAATAGAACATCCTCTTCGATGTCAGCAACTATAACAGTATGGACGAACTTTTCTGCTCCAATTCCTAATTATACCTGGATTTCCCTATGAATGCTGGCATTTTCACCTGTAGCGGTCCGAAGTCGCAACCTCGTTGGTAACAGTTTCTTACGGCTGTTTATAACTGTCGGGCGTATAATGGTTCTGATCGCTCCGGTATCCACCAACAACGTATGCCTTTTACCATTTATTTTTCCATCTACATATACACTATCTTCACGACATTTCAAAAAAGCTAGTAGTATGAGAGGGTCTTTGGAAAAGTTCCGGGTCGAAGCTGCACCCCTAAGGCCGACCCGTTCTAGTTTTTATGATGGTAAGTTTCTTGATTTGCGTCGTACCTAGGGTGTTCACATGAACTTGAGGCCTGTGTAGCTGACTCGTCACAACTCGATACAATTATATTTTCGGACTGACTTCTTTTCAAATAAAATGTTCCATATATACTAAATAACCGTTATCTGGACTCTCTGCAAAGGATCGATGACCTTCTCGAATAGAGTGGAATCCCACACCAGACATGTTCTTAGCGAAGGGGGACCCGTGGATGTTTGCCTAGAAATTTCTGCCTGCTGGTATATGATCTAGAAAAGACTTGAATGGAATAGAATTAGAAATTTGTTTACAGTTTTGTGCCATATTTATCGTAACACTACCTACAGTGACATATCTTCCGATGAAAATTTAGATCAAAATCTAAGTGAACAGTCTACTTTAAATGCAAAAATGTCTCTCTCGAGTCGTCCAAGAGGAAGAAAGAGAAAATTTGCACAACAAGACAGAAAAGAAAGAAAAATAAAAACTAACAGCAATATGGAATATTTCTCATCAAGAGGAAAACTAGTAAAATCAAGAGATTTTATCAGATACATGTGTTCATGTGCCGCTAAATGCCATGAAAAATTTTCTGTTCAAACCTTCAGCAGTTTTTCGAACACTATTGACACTTAGCTGATTATAATCCACAAATTACATTTATATCAACATCCGTTAGAGAACATCCTGCAAGGAGAAAAAAATTTGGAGGCAACAAATCCTGCAGCACGACAATTTTCAAGAAAATACTTTATAAACAAAGTAGTAGTTGTAGAAATATATATACCAATACATTGCAAGTGTCAACTAAACGCATAAGTACTGCTCTTCAAAAAGCAAGAACTTTGACTACAATTGATAATCGAGGAGTCCGCGGTGGGCATAACAAAATGTCAGCAGATGAAAGAAATATTATAGTTAACCAATAAACTAGTTTCCACGGTATGTACCTCATTACTTATGATCACGTAAAATGGACCAATAATTTTTGCAAGAAGGGACTACTTTATCAATAATGTATAATCTTTACAAACCAAAAAGTGAAAATCCTGCGTTTCTCAAGTTTTAAAAGAGTTTTTTTGAATGATTGTAACTTGCGACTAAAAAAGCAAAAAAAAAAGACACCTGCAATAAATGTGATGTCATGCCTTTAAAATTAAGATACAGAGTATTAAAGATGATGAAAAAGAGGATATTGTTAGACAACAGGAACTGCATTTGGAACAAGCTGAATTAGGAAGAAAACAAATGAATCTTGACTTAACCAAAGTAATAGAAAATGAACAAATAGAAACTCTGACCTTTGATTTAGAAAAAAACGCTGCCTTTACCTCGCATATCTTCAAATATTATATTTTATAAACGACAGTTATGGGTATATAATTGCGAAATTTATGCAGATAAGCAAAAAAAATTCACTCTTCATTTATGACTCGAAGGACAGGCAGGCTGTGGAGCTCAAGAATTGAGGTTTTGTCTAAGAAAATACATTTTAAGTAATGTTAGCTATAAAGTTGAGAACATTATTCTGTGGAGCGACTCTTGCGGGGGTCAAAACAGGAACAATAAAAGAGTATTCCTGTTAAAATGTCTTCTAGAGGAATCACAGCATTTAAAGACTGTCAGGTTGAGAGTTTTAGTTCCAGATCATATAGTGATTTTGGAGATGTGGAATGTGCACTTAAAAGGCAACATAATATATTTTCACCTGGAGAATATAGCCGTATAATGAAAACTTGTAGACAAAAACGACCTATTAATGTAAATATTATAACACAAGACGGTCTTTTGAGTACCGCAAAATTAGAAAAATGAATCAACAACAGAAAAAAGTAAAACCAAGACAATAAGTTGGTTACAAACCAAAGAAATTAAATTGTGTAAAGATTAGGTTTATAGCATATTTTTTAAAACGACTTATCAAGACACTGACGATTATACAGTATAAGCATAAAAAAGGGAACATGAAGAGAACCTTCAACTGGGCCACAATTTGCCACGTATTTGGAACCATTGTGGCCTAAAGGAAAGCCAGTTTCGGAAGCAAAACTTAAAGATATACAAAGTTATCTTAACTTAATACCATTAAGTTAACACGATTTCTATACAAATCTTTAGTAGATAATACTATAATCGAGGATATAGACGGACAATCCGCATCTGATTCGAAATTCAGATTTCGAATCAGATGCGGATTGTTAATGTTATATTTAACAACAAAGAACCACGTGGTTTTTTCTTACTTAGGAGTTAATTTTTTAGTTGTTAATTTGATTATATCATTAATATCCATAAGTTATAATAAACGTGTTTACTTTTGAGTCGTTTTTTATTATTTTTATATCCAAATAATTCCCTCAAATAATAAAACATTTTTCATGATTTTCTCAAAACTAAGTTAATGTCGGTTGTTTCCTTGTTGCATAAAGGGCTCCAATTGATACATTGTCTTCATGTCTCGCTCAGAAACCATTTTTATGTAGAATAAAGTTATCATTTTATTCGATTTTTAAAATTAAATTAAGGGTCATTAAATAATTCAACTCAAATATGACTCAACATAAATGAAATAGCCTTGGTGCTATTAAAAATAAAATATATAGTAAAGATTTTCTTTCTGCGTATTCCCCTTCTTATATACAGTGTTTTTACTTTCTAAATTATTTATGTGGTATTTTCAGCGCACCACATTATCCTACATGTTGTACCTGGCCGATAATATGGCGTATTTCCCGTATCAAGTTCAGGATGAGCCCTTGTTTATCGTGCATCATATTGATATTATGATCTCAGTCTCTGGAACAAATTTGTTGCAGAATTTTAGAGATGTAAGTATCATTTACCTGACACGTGATTTAAATAATAATAATTCTTACCACAATATTTTAGGATTTGATTGCTGTTGAGGGTCAAAGTAAAATTATTGATACTGAAAATGGCGAGCCAGTTAATATGGTGTCTGCTCTTGACGAGGATGATGATGATGAAGAGAGTCTGTTAAGTCGTGTACCTGAAGATACAAGCCAACTGCAGGCATGTATTACAGCCGCTCAAGGATGCTTACTTCTTCTTATGTTAAAACAACATATTAAAGATATATATGGACTTAGTGATGGGTAAGTCGTGGTATTGATGTAAAACTTAGCTAGCTAAGTTATTTTGCAGCTATTAATTTTAAATTTTCATTATGGTAAGCTGATAAAATTTAAAATATTTAAACGATATGATTCATTTTCTTGACAACCGGCAACGTTTTTAGGAAAATTCAACAGTATTCTCCATCAGAAGCTGCGAAGGTTTATGAAAAAGCTATTCAACGCAGATCGAATGCACTTTTCAATCCAAAAGCGACAGTACATAAACTGAAACAGGGCAAACCTTCGGAGTACTTGGATGTGGATGGCAGAAGGGATCTCATACGACAGTACATAGACGTAAGTTTTTTTTGTTGAGTACTCAGCGATTAGAAAATATAAAAGCTTTGTATATTGTTTCAGTTCAAACAGTTGATGCTACAACTAGATCCTGACGATCCCGATGATGAAGAGAACGCTCCAAAATTACTTACTGCACTAGCTAATGCACAAGCAACTCCTCAAGCCAATTCAGGGGCGCCATCATCAATATTGACGGAGGCAGACCAAGTAGTACTCGATAATTATAAGGTATTTTAAAATACCCATTATAATATAATAATTTATTTATACTTAGTGTGACAAGTTATAAGTCGTGTGAATTTTTGATAAAATTCTATTTTGAAATTTTAAATACGTTATTCTTCTAAGAATTCACATCAAATTGAATAGTTGGGACGAATAAAAGTCGAAAATTTCTAGACTGTAATACTAATACCACATCCAAAACGCATGCATATTATCGTGGTATTATGTTACAGTAAAACTCGAACTGTGCATTTTTTTTTCGTTTTTGTATTTTAATTATCCTGTATATTGTATACACATCAATCATGCAGACCGAGGTGTGCCGCATTCAACAATGTAATGATTGCTGATAAATGTTTTTTTTTTTTCGGTTTTGTCAACCATTCTAAGTAGGTAAACAAACTTGTTGATTTCATTCGCTGTATATTCTTGAAGAATAAATGATTAATTTCCAAACCGTTACGTACTTTGAAACAAGATCAAATCTGCTGCATTGCATTATGATTTTATGTAAACATTTATTTTATATCACTAATCAGTTTGAAACCTAAAATAGATTAGTGATCATCAACGAAGGTCCGAAGCATTGTTTAGTTGACTTTACATTTTTCATACCATTCTATTGTTAATATGGAACCAGAACAAGAAAGTAAAAAGAGAAAACCCTATTGCACTTTTAATAAAACATTGCAAGAAAGAACATAGCATGACATATTTACTGTGTGAAAAAATAATTTTTTGTACTATTTGGTGGTCTCCTCATTCAATCAATGCTACTTATCATCATGGCATAGCGGTCGACTGACCCCATTTGTTTATTGTACTCAATAACACAATCTGGTTTCCTTACTAGTTTTTTAGTAGTAGGATAAATTTTGTCAAGAACGATCATTTTATTTTCATGCATTATTGTTATCATCATAACATCTCTTCTGTCTTTTTATTTAAACACCAAGCAAATGTCAGAATTTCTCCAATCTACTTCACCTTTTTTCAATTTTTCTTGCAAAGAAGGCATGTGAAGCCTTTTAGATCTAACAGTCCTACAAGAATTTGTTTAATGTTTATACAAATAATGTGAAGATTAGACTGCTATAAAAATTTTCAGTAAACAGTGAGTGGCCTCTGTTTAGATATGGTTTCATAAGCTGGGCCACAACTTTTCCAGTGGCACCCTAGTGAACAAATTCCCCTTCGTTGGCTCAGTGAAGATGTTCGTTCAGTTGTAATGGAAACACCAAATAATAGTAGCAGAGTTTATTGATGAGACGTACACTATGGGTGTTGACCCGGGATTACTTTGAGTAGAGACTGTTGCAGTTGAGCGTTGAAGACTATCACGTTTGTTGAGTGAATATTGATTGAATGCTTTTCTAGGCAAGAGATATTAGTTTTATATAAGTTTTAATTGGGTCAATATATTTGCGGGCCTCGCGTGATCTGTGTGTCTAATTTATGTAAATTGTTTAACTTTGTCAGCACTTTTGACTGATGTCCAAATTATAATGTTGATAATTGACCAAATCCGTATGTAACCTAATTAACTGTGTGTATTTAATAACAAATAAATTCATTCGGTCTACTGGGTGATAAGATTATACTGTCCAATTTCGGATATGAATTCTGAAGATTTGATATTGGAAACCTAGCCTTTGATAGGGTCTTCAGTAGAATATGTATTCTTCCCAACATAAACAATAAAATCCAGAACAAAACCAGTCTCGCAGTCACAAGTTTTATACCAAAACGGTGGCGTTTGGTTTTTATGCATTGTTTAAAAAGGAATCTTCCCTTAAATAATATAGTACTCTCATCAATAAAGAGGTTTTCAAAGGAATAGAATTGTGACTGAAATCTTTATTTTATTTGTGTCAAAACCTCCTTTATTTTACACAAACGATTACCAGGTTCTGCATGTTTATTGTTAGAGAGATGCAAATATTTCATGATTTATAAGTATCTGTCTCTTGACATTTTCTGCTAAACAATGCGAAGTACAAAAGAGGATCTTTTGACCAATTCTCCTTTACTTCAAGTTTTTTGTTTTTGGACATAATCATAGTCAATCCAAGAAAGGTAAAGAACTCATCTAAATAAAGATGTTTCCATTTTTTATCATTTTTTTGCATAGCATACCTGTTAGTTTCATCAATTATATATTTGGCTGTATCCTCGGTAACAATTTTCAAAAAATAATCTATTGCCTTTGGTTCTTCCGTTAGTTCATCATGTCCTGTACTCAGCTCTGACTATCATCAAATTTATGTAACTTGGGGACGAATTGATTTTTTCCCACTGGATTTGTCTGTCACTATTATCTTTTTCAATTATTTTGATCGTTTGCATCTAAGTTGTCACAATTTTCTAAGCTTACATCTTCATCAATTTTTTGTCTTTCTTCTCAATATCTTTCAAATATTCACGTCCACTATCAGAAAATGGCTCCTCTTCACTATCAGAAAACTCAGATGTGTCCACTATTTTTAGTAAATTAGCCACTTCCTGTTGGGTTAATCCTCAATACGAAGAATAATCATTTGTAGTCTTAATATTAACGTTAATTACTTTGCTCGAAGGCCCGGCGTTCTCGTTGCACGACATTTTAGTTGCTACTGAAACACATGGCGACGTAGCGACCGGAAATTTCAAGTAATCTGTATGCTGCGTGCGCATCTTTCTCTCTAGCCGAGTGTCGCATATATCGGTGACTGATATAAACGACACTCGTCTGTGTGACAAATTATGAGCTCACCATATATTCGCCAGTCGTCTACCTGCCAATTTCATTTTAAAATTTTGGCTAATTAATCAGACACTGGTCTTTGGAGACGGATAAACATAGTGACATATACAGATTGAACCAAATTAAAACGGAACATACAACTTAATACATGTCTGTTTGAACTGCATTAGAAATAATGGACCAATATAAAACTTGGACAAAAATAAACCCATACCTGGGTATAGACATTGTATAAAATATCGTTCAACTATCTGTCTCACAACAAAGTTGTTTGCGTAAGACGGGTTTTGTCTAAGGGAGCGATAATAGTTCAGGAAATGAAGCTCCAAAAAAGTTAAAACCTCGCAATTTTTTCGTCCTGCATGTATCCAGTTGAAATTTTAAATGAAGGTAGGTGATAGCCCAAGGATCAAAATCTATATCGAACCGAAGTCCGCTGAAGGGTTTTAGGGGTGAAACTACCCCTAATTGTCAAAAATTATAAAATAACATATTAAACCTGAATATGGGTAAGATTTGGTTTGAATTAGTTAAATAATGATTATTTTATACTTTTGAATAGAGTTCCATCATATTTCAACCCTTAAAAAGCAACCCTTGTTAGAGATTAATGTAAAAAAATTACTAATTCTAAAAAAATGATTTCGCCTTGGATCGATTTGGATACAAATTTGGATTTAAGCTCAATTCACCCGCTGCTTTATAGTTTATGTCATGTCGACAAACCCTGATTGTTCTTAGGGGTGAAAACTACCCTTAATTGTCAAAAATTATAAAATAACATATTAAACCTGAATATGGGTAAAATTTGGTTTGAATTAATTAAATAATGATAGTTTCGTGCTTTTGAATAAAGTTCCATCATATTTTAACCCTTAAAAAGCGACCCTTATTAGAGATTAATATAAAAAAATTTAGTAATGCGAAGAAAATGATTTCACCCTGGAACGATTTGCATAAAAATTTGGAATTAAGCTCAACTCACCCTCTGCTTTATAGTTTATGCCGATGAGCCCTGATTGTTCTTAGGGGTAAAAACTACCCCTAATTTTAAAAAATTGTAAAATAATATTACAAATCTTAAGATGAGTGAAATTTGGTTTGGATTGGTTAAATAGTGATTTTTTAGACTTTAAAATACAAATTCATATATTTTCAACCCTTAAAAATCAATTGTTATGACTGCTATAGGTGAAAACAATTTTTTGCCAAAATTTTGCAACTTTTTCAGCTTTTCAAAATCACCCTTTACAACATTGCAGTTTTTATAAACTATTTTATAAGATATAAATTGAAAAAAGTAAAATTAAATACAAAAAAATTTATCAACATAAAAAGGCACCATATATTCTTATACATTTACATAAATAGTTGAAAATATTTACATTTATAGGTAAAACAATTATAATATTAATTTTATTCGTCATCAATTACATATTCATCGTAATTTATGTCATCATCATATTCTTCAATTATTGGTGGACTGTTATTGCACCCTTCACCTGAGCACCCAGAACAAGTAGAGTACAGTATAAACCAACTTTTCTGCACCCACATGAAACGCCGCATCCTTTTTTGCATTGGCAAAAAATAATTTTCAAAAGTTCATCGGTGCAGGTTGTTTGTTCGTGCGTACGGGTAATAACAAACCATCTTGGAATACCATCCCCAATCTGTTGCTCTGATATTTTCATTGTCAAGCCATAGACATATGAGCAGATGTTTTATTCTGTTGTATGGGATTTCAAAATAAGAACGCTTACAATTTCGAATGTATAACGCCCCACTAGCTAATATACCGGTTTTGTAGAATATTATGCCCCGAAATGTACTTTACTATACTAATGGAATTTTCCGGAAAAAAATTAACTGGTTTTTTTAACGTATTTCCTTTAATTTTTAACGATAGAGTGCTTCTTCAAAAACAATTTGTAGAGGTTTTTAAGAGCTACAAGGATCTGTGAATTAAATCTTTTTGGAACCCTTGGTTTTTAAATGGGGTGAGTTTAAAGGGCTCGAAAAAGATGGTGCTTGATCGTAAATCGATGCTTTAAACGGCTATATCTCGCCAAATATTCATTGTACAACAAATCTAAATAAAGGATAATTTTAGTCATTAAAAAAGCTACAATTTGGTAATTTTTATTTTTTTCATATATTCAGTATTTTCGGGCATATTTAAAAAAAGAAGGGTAAAAAATATAAAATTGTAAATCGTTTCTCTCTTTAAGCTGTACTTTTTCTAAAACTAAGCATTTAAATGGGTCAAACTTCCTGTACGTATTAACAATACATGTACAAAGGGAATTGCAGAAGGGTGAAGATCGATTTTGATTATGGGGGTGGTTAGGGGGTTGTTTTCATCGATTTTTTCGTAAAAAATGAGGTATTGACCTTATTTTCATCATAACTCAAATTTTTGAGCTAGAGTCTTTTTTTATGATAGTTCTATTTATGCTCTTTAAAAAAGGTTCTGTTTTCTTCCAAAAATGCATCATTTTCCCGATATTTGACTATGAATCTTTCAAATTTGGCATTTGAAGAAAACCGCTAAACATTGATAGGCCGTATTTCGGTTTCTATTATATCGCAAAAACATTTTAAAAAATGAATTGTATTTGTCTTTTTAAAGGCTACAAATTTGTTCTCTACAATTGTTTTGATAAAATGCACCATTTTCAAGTTATTCGCGAAAAGTCGATTAAAAACGTGGATTTTTTCGTCTAAAAGTTGTTACTTTCAATCGCGAATAACTTGAAAAATATCATTATATAAAAAAAATGTATAGCACATTTTTTGTTTAGAATCACTTTTTTAATCGAAACCTGTAGTTAAAACGTAAAAAAAAAAATTTCACCCCGGAGATGGGGTGGCAACCACCCCCTAGGCTTTGGCGCACTTTGGTTCGATATAGATTTTGATCCTTAGGCTATTACCTACCTTCTGTTAAATTTCAAGTCAATCTACGCAACACGAAAAAATTGCGAGGTGAAATACTTCATTTCCTGGACTATAACTGGTTTGACAGCATAATAAAATCGTAGATTTATGTGTAGCTTTCAATTTTTATGAGTTCAGAGTCCAGCAACCTGCTGGAGTATTGGATTTTTATAATATAATTATTTGACAATCTTTTGTTGGCCAACCACCTACAACAGAATTGAGCCGAAATACATTATATTCCTATGTTCCGAATTTATTTCGTTCAATCTGTATATCGGTCAGTCGTCCGTGTTTTTCTGTCGGCAGTTTTCTTTCTGTCCGATATATCGGTCAACCATCCTGAAAGGGTTAACCCAAGCTGAACTTGAGGAAATAATAAATAATTTGAGTAATTTTTTATTCCTTCTTGGTATGTGCCATCTATAAAATGGATCATAAAATTTATTCATCTTAGTTATTATTGGTCGTAGAAGGTTCTTTTTTATTAAAGATTGTGTTTTTCACCATCTTTTCAGTGAGCCTACTTACAAGGGCGTGACATAAAAATACTAAATTTATTAAAAACCTGTATAAACTAAAAAGTCAGCCCTTTTCAAACGGTTCTTATAAATGACTGTAAAAATAAGGGTTTTTTGCAATTATCTCGGTCAATTGTTTATGTAATTTAATTTAAAAACTCTCAAATTAAACAATTTTTTAATATCTACAACTTTTATTTGAACCATTTTTTTTCTAAAATGTATAAGAAACGTGTTATAGACAAATAATGATTTTTTTTACTGTTTATGATTGTTCAAAGCAAAATCAGCTGTACATGTTTAAAGGATTTGTCATCAGCTATTCCTTATATACTTTTTAAAATCTTCAAAAATCTGTATAAGATTATTTCAGCTTTTTTTTACTGGCCTAATATACTAAAAGAAGTTTTTGTTGCAGGACCCGCCAAAAGTGCCCAAATTGGTGATATCTAACCGACGGTTCGATAGTGATACGAAACGCACTCCGCGGACTCCAAAAGCGGAAAAAGTGAAAAAACACAGACATAAAAAGAAGCGAAGAAAGTTCGCGAGTTCATCGGGAGACGAGAGTGAAAACGACTATAGTGATCCAGACTTTATGGCCTAGCTATGCGCCCAAATGAGCAGGTTGCACTGCTCAGACTGTATAGTGACTAATAGTTGATCGTTTTCGATGAACTTTTAATATACTAATTGGCAAACGAAACTAAACGCAAACTAAAAAGTACTTGTACCGTTTTTTGGTAGTTTTTCTATTATTATTGGAAAAATCGATAATTTACATTCCTGTAATAAAAGTAAGCAAATAGAAAAATCGTTAGGAGTATTTTTCCGTAGTCTAAATGTGGCCGATTGGTGTATTAACGTTTGTCAGATAATTAAAGATTGATTTTATAAACTCAAAAATGACGTGGGAGAAAATTTTTGTATGATGTAGCATGAAGCACATGATGTAAATGTAAATGAATTGTAAACATTCGATAAAAAGGTGATTTGTTTAAACTTTTCGTTTTCAGTTCGCTTTTGCAAAGATTCTCGCATCTTTTTTTTATAAATATGATAGAGAACTATATTGTATGCGAGGATCTCTGTGATCTTTTTGTATAGATTTCAAAATATTTTTTTTAGAATAAAATCAGGGGATTATATGCGCATGATATCAATTCTTGAAAACATTAAATGGTACTCTTAATTTTCACCTTACTAAAACAGCAGAAAGGAAATATAAAATATTAAATATAGCCAAATTTTATAAATGATATTAATTAATAAATCGAACTGGAGGCTTGCGGTGACATTAGGGTTCTATGATTTATTCTAAAATAAAGTACATATAGTTGTTTATACAGATTCACAAGTATCAGCATACATATTTATATTAATTATCTTATCTTCTTGGCTTTACACTTTTGCTTCGAATTTTTTTTTCTTGAAAGTCTGTCAGCTCTCAAGAGAAGTACCATAAAATGTATGGCCGTTGCCTGGATGTTTTAAAGAAGAAAGCCAACATTTCAATAAAATAGGCAGGAAAAGGTTCCAGCTTGGCAATCTTTTAAAGAAGTCATGTTAATTTTTATTTATTCTAAAGACTTGAACTATTAACAAATGTTTAGGTTTATTCCATTCAGTATTTTATAGATATAATTGGTATACATAATAATTTTATTATTTAGGCTGTGTTTATCCAACTCTTGTTTTATCTGTAGTTTTATTCACTAATTGTACAAAAAGAATTTTAGAGTTTTTAGATTAATTTATAGTAATAATTTGGGATAATTGATGGATTCGACCGTTACTTGATGGAAATTCATTTTATGTAACAATAAAACACTGAAAACTTTGTTTTCAAACTTCCACAAAATTTATTTTAACTCTAATCACTACAGCTGTTTCGGCTGATTGCCTTTCTCAAGTCTGACTTGAGTTTCCAGTGTTTTATTGTTACATAATTATTTGGGATTTCTTTTAATTACTATGTTGGTACTTAGAACTGTATAATTAGCTGTCATGTAGAATTTAGGCGGAAAGAGCTCAAAAGACAAAATAAAGTGAATGATTCATGAATCAATACTATTATGGGACATATATTTATTATTTGTGAAACTTAATAATACTTTGCACAGTTGCCATGAAAGACTTTGGAGTAATTCACATAATGACGCAATCTTCTCGTTCTGGTTTATATGTAATGCTTTATTTTATTTTTTTTTCTTTGTGTGTTTTTTTTAATTTACACTTGATTTAATTGTTTCGAATGCATTTTTCAATAAAAACCCATCCACTGCCCTACTTACTATTCTTCTGATTCTTCATCGTATACTATATATTTTGCCGATCTCAATTGGTGCACCTAGATAATTTTTTCAGTTTTAAACGATCTGTGACTAATGTACTTTAAAACCAAACATACACACACACACACTCACGATTATCGATTTCCTTCTTCTTTCGAGTATTATTTTTTTTTATTTAAGAACTTAAATTGGTACATTTTGAAAATATGACGTTTTCAAATACAGTAAAAATTCAGTTAACACATTCGCTGCCAGCGCGAAAAGTATGTGTCACACTAGGTGCCACGTGAATTTTTCTTATACAGTAGAGTCCCGCTAATCAGAACTTCGGTAATCTGCTTAATCCGAAACACAATTTGACAATATACGAAAATAAATACGAAAAAATTTATTTCAAATCCTTTATAAAAGGTATTGGCGACGTACAAGTACTTGGATGTGATACGAGAAACGATCGTGCGCGAGTAGCGGAGAAATCTTGCATTTTTTACTGCAAATTTCATAGATTTCATAAATTCATATTGTCAATTGTCATATTTCATATTCGTTTGTTTATTTACACCTTCTGTCACTGAAGAAAATGGGATTTAGGAAATGCTGTGTTATAAATTGTAAAAATACAACAAAAAATTGTCAATTTAAGTTTTATTCGTTTCCAACTTCGAAGCACAAATTACTACAAAGAGAAAAGTGGATTTATATCATAAAAAAAGCATAAGTAACATAACCTAAATTATGCATTATTCTTGCGCCCGATTTAAAAGTCAGTTTGAAATAAATAATAAATAAAAGTTCACTTTTAAGTGTAAATTTTAGTTTCATAACACTCACCTAGAGTCCATTTTAACCCAAAAATCAAGTTTAATGTTTAAATTTTATTTTTTTGAAGTTTACAAAAGTTCAAAAGTTCAAGTTTTTCTGAAGATGCATTAAGATATATTCGCTGTCCAAAAGTTTACAGGGAAAGAATTAATTGTTCAAACCAATATCATGATATCATTCGCTTAACCTGCTAATTTATGCATTAGCATTATTTATGGTAATTTATTTTTCTTAATTATTCCATTCTTTTTTGACATTTGCCACTACTAAAGCTTTTCCATTTGACTCAGTGCTTGGTTGAAAAGTTATTTGGTGATTTACTTTCTCAAATCCAGTTTTTATTATTGCATCCATATTAACAGTAATGCTGTAATTTAATAATATATTTATTTGTATTTACACTACATACAACGTTTACTTTTTAAGAATATACCGACATAACCTCAATCTTACTTTTTCTTCTTATTCTTTTTTGGGGCTACGTCCTTGACAGTTATCCGGTAACCTCGATCTAACATGAAAGCGCAGTAAATTTTGCTGATTTACGACACCAGGTGTCGCTGTTCCGAACTTGCACGGTCCCAATATAATAAAATGTCAAAACGGGCTATCACAATTACATTACAGTCAGATTGTTAAATCCATCATCAGTGTAAACGTAATTTACACTTGTTTTACATTATATATAGTTACAAATTAGTATGTTTAAGTTACCGTTGGAATTCATAACATGGCGACGTATGACCCTACATAGGTAAAATGGTCCTGAGACGAAGTGTCTTCGAGGACCTGTTGATAACAACTGCTGTACCCATATATTTTGGTGGCTCATAGCATGTATACCCCGTTTACACTGATGATGGATTTAACAATCCGAAAACGTTCTGTTATGTAATTGTGATAGGCCGTTTGGGTACTTTATTATATACCTTTTATAAAGGATTTGAAATAAATTTTTTGTGATATATGGTATACAGCCAGCTACAGGAATTTAGTTTCCTAGTGGATTTTTTAAAATAAATACAGTTCCTCTAAGAGCAGTTACTCTAAGAACTACTACAATATATATCTAAAAATGACTTAACTGAAAGTACTTAACTAATAAACCTTTCAAATGTAAGTTTTTTTTTTAAGAATCAGTTAAATTTCTTTGCTTTAATGAAGAATTAAAGATCTAGCGTACCACTAGATAAACCACAATCACAACGTCTGTGTGGGTTACACGCTGTTCGCTGTTGACATCTTCCCAATTACTTTCATCAGAGGGTTTTGAAATTTCTTCTGCAACCATTTCAATAATTTGCTGATCATCATATATCTCGCGTTCATCATCATCAGCTCGCACCCATTCTTCTATATCATTGTTATTTGCCTTTTCACAGCCAGGAATATTTTGCACAAGGTCTCTTTACCTAAGGGTTACCCGTTCTTTGCTGATTTTAAATCCTGGAGCGGTTAATCCTTCCTTAGCAGCCAGACTTTTGCTTGGCAAATCCTTAAAGTTAAGGCCTGTTTCATCAGTATTATATATTTGCTGACGGGAATGTTTTCTGCATCAATCATGTCAGCAAATGTACCTACATATTCAAACACTGTAGCCTCATCAGACGACAACCTTTCTCCAGTAATGGTCAGCCAGCGTATGTAGTGATGCTTCTTGAAACGATCAAGGCGACCTGTACTTTTTTTTCTTAAAAGGGGGCCCATTAATCGTCGTTCCCTTTTCCCTCTCTTTGAGGAAAACAAAGCTTGGTCAAGCTTTTCAAGTGAAGTAGTTTTGGCAGTTTCTGTACATTTACTTTCTGTGCAAAACGGTTCTATTTTTGATCGATTTCTTTTCCAGTCAGTGATCGTAGAGTTCCCAAATCCATACTTAAATGCTAATTTAGACGCACTATCGCCATTGTGCAAACGTTTCAACAGTTTAACTTTTTCCTATAAGGTGCACGAACTGTGTTTTCATTTTGAAGTCATATTGTACAGTGTAGGGATAAAAATACTGTAAAGTACTTACATTTCTCTTGGTCCACACAATAAATAAAATAATATATGTAGTATAAATAGCAAAAATAAAATAAATTCACAACAAGAACGCAGCGGTATGGTATCAAAACAACAAAACTGAGATGTATAACACTGGGGAACACATTTTTTGTTGAGTTAGATCCGAAATTTGTTTTTCACCAATTTTTGTCGTCTGAATCTGAGAATAACCTCAGATTTTGTCTATCACGTCAGCTTTTTAAACTACAGGATATCCTCAAAAATTATGCATAAAGAAACATAAAATAAAAACGTACCAATTCTACAGTAGTTTGCAAAACATTTAGGGCCGGTTCTACAATACTAGTATATACTGAGAATAAAGTTATACTCTATATACAAAGAATAAACTAGGAATAAGATAATCGGAGTATATCTATAGCATAACTTGGTCCGTCAGGGGTTGTCAAATATGTGATCTTTAAACTGTGGTTTTGTTTGTTTTTATATATAAAATAGAATTTTTGATATGGATCCAGTTAATATTAATATTTTTGAATCTGATGATGAAGATTTTGAAGAAGGAATACCTAGGCTAAGGCATCCGAAAACTTTTAGAATTCGGTATGAATTAGATATATATTTATGTAGAATTTGAATTCAATTTCTGTATAAGTAAAATTGTTACATCTTTTTTTATCCATTTTATATTAATTTTGCAAAGTATAATAATATAAACGTAGATAAAATACTAGATAAAGATAAAATAGATAAAATACTTTCAATGGTAAACAAAGTTTACAGTTATGACAACTGCCAAATGTCACTGTCAATAACAATTTGACCTAATTTTGAGGATATCAGATCTACTATTTCGTTTTACCTTAGGGCCGGTTCTACAATCCAAGTATAAATTGGAGAATAATTATTCTGAGTATAACTTATACTTGAATTTATTCCAAGTATAATCTTTCGAGCGATCTACATTGTGAAATCGACAGCGGAATAGTTATTCTGGGTAAAACCACAAAACACTAAGGTAAAACGAAATAGTAGATCTGATGTTCTTAAAATTAGTTCAAATGCTTATTGACAGTGACATTGGGACAATTATCCAACATAAAAAAATTTGTATACTTCATTCGTTTAGCTCGGGCATATTTTGACAGATTCATTGTCGGAAACCTACAACACAACAATTCCTACTTCTCAGTATTAATAGCTCAAGTATACTACTATTGCAGACTTGTTTCTTTGAAAAAAGAAGAATTATTCTAAATAGTGGAAGTGTATACTAAACCCATCAAATTTTGGGTAGTATATATTTAAAAAACATATTTTAGTTGTTATAATTTAACATAGCTATTATAAGTATATAAGTATATAAGTATAACATAGCTATATAGTTTACTATTAATATTAGTTATGAGTATGTATGCTTGGTTGTATAGTAATTTCCAGCCACTTTTAGTCTGTCAAAAAGTAACTAACTTCGCAAAAAAATAATTACTAAATTCGCTAGACAGTTCGGACTGGGAATAGCGAACCGAGTATAAAAAGACATGTAAGGTATAAAAAAAGATTTTAATATGAATGAATGTATATAGTAAATTATAATTGATTTAATTTAGAAAATATATTTAAAATTAAACACAAACAGTTTGTAAGAGCAAAAAATATTTTTCGTCATAAAAATTTATACAATTGTTTAAATTAAAACTTGCTCAGTCAGAGACAATATTCTTTCTTCTATTTGATGCAATAAAATTCTGCACGTATGTTTCTGTAAACGAAAACGAGTGAAGAATTCTAATTCGTCATACTCTTCAAAATAATTTGTCCTAAATAATTTTATTTTCTTAAAATGCTACATAAATATATATCTAATTCATACCGATTCTAAAAATTCTAACATCAGATTCAAAAATATTAATACAACACTATCCACATCAAAAATTTTTATTTTATATATAAAAATAAACAAAACAGCAGTTCAAAGCTCGAATGGCATAAAGTAAGGTTAAAATATTACAGATTTGACAACCCGTCGCCGACCAATAGAAATGCAGTATAAATTTATACTCGGTATATCTGCTCAACTTTGAAGGGATAAAGTTATCCTACAGAAATACTCCGATTATCTTATTCCTTGTTTATTCTTTGTTTGTAGAATGCCATGAATGAAGTTATTCCAAG